TTTAATTGTAATGTGCTTAAAATAAAATATTGAAATTTCACCTTAGATCCAAATAAAACCAGAGATGTTAGCTTTGAAAAAGTAACGAGTGAAACGTAGCGAGTGCACGCAACGAGTTAGCTTTGAAAAAAGTAACGATTCAAATGTAGCGAGTGCACGCAACGAGTTCTTTTTTATGTGTTTGTTTGGTTTTCTTTTTTTTTTTAAATAACGAGCAGTTATTGCAGCGAGTAAAATTGTAACGAGTCAACTTGTGGTTGGGGCGGGGCATATATACATATATATATATACATATAAATAGGGGTCGGGGCAAATAAAAATGGGTTAAAACAAACGTAAAAGCTCCGATCAGTGCACAAACCCATAAATATTGATAATAATAACAATAGTAATAAAACTTAAAAGTAAATCATATGCAACATTCAGTCTACATATATGTGATAATGCATAAGTATATAATACTATACGACTAACAGTAATTAGTATAGTGTTTTGATTCAGTTAGCTATATACCAGGGCAATAACGGGAAGCATGTGGGCATTCGTGTGAGCTGTATGCGTATGTGTGTCTGTGTCTCTGTCTGTGTGCGTGTGCGTGTGTGATATGAGAGAATGCTTGAATTTGGCGAGGTTAAGTCTGATCCCGATTAGTTGTTGTAGGCGTCATATTTACAGGGATATATGTATGTGTGTGTGTGTGTGTGTGTGTGTGTGTGTGTGTGTAACGGTACTGTGCTTGCATGCGCAATTCGCCTAGCGAATCCGAAAAAGAAAAGTTTCTCTCTTTTTTTTTTTTTGGTTTTAAACTTGTTTCGATTTAAAGTTTTATGAATAAGAAACACATATAAATTGTTGGTATTTTTTTTTTTGTTGTTTAATCTTCTTGCAAACAAGATATGAAATTTATTAGCATTACGTGTGTGATTATCATCAGCATTATTATCATCATCATTATCATAGTTATCATCATTATCATCGTTATCATCGTCATCATCGTAATATATCATTATAATCAACATGTTATTGTTTTTTTTCTTTCTATTTTCTATTTATATCTTTCTATATATGTTGTATAACTATAAGTGTATAAGTATTATTTTGGATATACTGTTTGTGCTTTGTTTCGATTTGTTTTTCTCATTTTCTTGAAGACATAAAAGCATTAAATTAGTACTTGATTTATTTATAAATTACTAGCATATATCTACTACATAATAATTTAGTTTAATACTCGCTTTTCGTAAAAAAATATGTATGCATATATATATATATATATCCATATATATATAATCTATATATAAAGAACAAAAAGTCTATTTGCCTTACGTCTAGAGTCGCGCGCATTGATTTCTTTTCTTTATGGATTTAATACAAAAAAATCATTTAAAAAAAAAAAAACAAAAAAATAAAAAATAATTCCATTAAAAAAAAAACAAATATTTGTGCATTAGAAATATGCGCATACTTTTGCTTTATGTGTAGAATTGATTGTAAGTCTTAAAGATGCTGGTCAATGTTTTGGTTTTGGCATAAGACACATACAAATTAGCTGAATGTATGGGTTGTGTGTGTGTGTGTGTGTGTGTGTGTGTGTGTGTGTGTGTGTGTGTGTGTGTGTGTGTGTGTGTATGTGTGTGTGTTTGTGTGTTTTAAGTTCTTATGAGAGGTATGCAGGCACGGCGATTATCTGAAAAAATATTGAACCATATTTTTTTTACTATATCTATATAACGTTCATATGGGCTTGAATACCGCGACTTAACTAATCGAACCAACTACGCCCGTTAGACTATATATATACTATATATATCGCATAGAGTTTTCGAGAGAAAGAAGAGTAGCAATATACACCGGAAAAAGAGACAGAAGCAGAACTAAACGATCTTAAGCTAGATGCTATATACCTTAACATACTCTACGTTTCTCAAACTTCAACTTTGGCCCATTTCAATCGAAACCACAAATAGACGAAATTTCAGCCTTAATCAAGTCTTATAAGATTATTTTGAGAAAATACAAATAATTGTTATCATAAGCATAATAATGTAATTCAGTTCAGACACATTTTGGAGCATGACATATCACTTATATATATATATCAAATTTATATATATATCAAATTTATATATAGTCTTCAGCCTATGCGTGTTTAGAGTTTATTTTTGGTCTACGTTCCAGCCCATTTGCTTTGAACCCCTTCCCCACCAAGCCTCTTAAGAATTTGCTCTCAGGCAAATACTGTTTGCTCTACTGTGCGTGCACACACACACACACATACACACACACACACGCACACATGCAGCTATGCATGCATATACAACGGACATTGTTGTTGCTGTCACTTTCCAAATGCAACACTGCGCCGCCCCCAAACAAACGTCAGCTGTCAAAATTGCAGTTTCGTCAAGTTGTTCTAAAAATAGAACACTTGACACGCGGTGCGGCGTTGACAGTGTTGCACAACTCGTCGTTAAGTTCTTGAACGTATTTAGTTAGCATGCCTATCGATCCCGCAACATCAAATCATTGTAAAACTGAACGAATGCAATGCGCAAACTTATCGAAAGTGTTTTCTTTTTCCTTCTTTTTTTCAGAGTAAGTTCTTTTTATAGAACTGAAGAAGAAAGAAAAAACAAGTTTTGTTATTATTACCTATTAACACCTATCTGCAGCAATCTTTTGTAAACCTGTCGAGTTGTTTCTTTGGAGAGCTTTGTATTCCTAGTTATATAAAGAAGCCCCATGCTGTCCGTGATACCCAATAAATAGATAAATAGATTATTCCCCTCTGTACGCATTAAGCACTATTTATGGAGTAAGAACTTTTCAGTTCTGCTGAATTTTTATTTCTTTTATCTCTCTATATATACCATTATCTATGGAAAAGAATACTTTCTTATATACATGAATTTCAATTACTTCAATCTTTCTGTAATATGTCCTTTACAAAACGGAAATAACTTTCTTCTATATTCTTTTATACATTATACTATCTATCATTTGAAATTCTATCTCAAAACATCTCTTTTTTTATTGTTGCAATATCTTTTAAACTTGTGTATTATATGCCAGATCTTTCCATATAATAATACTCCCCCATGCACAAATTGGAAGTTCTTTTCTTTTCTACCAATACAATACAATATATTCTAACTAAATGATTCTCCAGTTATCTTCCTATTCTTTCTGAATAGATGTGATTCTGCTGCACATCTGACACATTCGCCTAGATAAATGTAAAACAGTTCTTAACATTCGTTCTAGTATATTCCAAAGGGAATATCTAACCCCTAAGACATTTACAATATTTTTGAGCATACTCTCTATCAAATATTATCCTACAAACAAAACATCTTCAACAAATTCCGAATAGAGAAAAAAAACTCTTCTATTCTATAAACAAAACCTCTACAACAATTCCGAAATGAGTTCAAACCCTGTATGGTTAGTGTTGGACAACGTTTATGTTGTGCACTGGGATCGATATGAACATATAGTACAAGCACATAGATCAGATATCAGATCAATATACATACATATATATAGATATATATATATATGTATATGTGAACCAGCGGACATTTTGTAAAAACGTAAGACTTGTGGGTGTGGCAAGAGCCCTAAGATAAGCTAACAGTGTGCGTGTGCGTGTGTGTGTGTGTGTGTGTGCATGTGTGTTCAAATGTATCTGTGTGTCCGTGTGTGTGTGTGTGTGTGTGTGTGGATGAGCGTGAATGGAGATCTCTCGGCATGTACGAACTGAGCTGATGATGAGTTATGCGGATGTATATGTATGAATGTGTGTATGCATGTGTGTATATATGCATATGTATGTGTGTATATATGCATATGTATATGGTGGATTTAGAATAGGAGGGTGTCGGAGGAGTGGAAGTCTTGATTTCTTTTTTTTTTTTCGTTTGTTTGCTTGTCGTTGGTTGTTGTTGTTGTTTTTTTTTTGCTGTAGTTGTTGTTGTTGTGGTAAGTTCTAACTGATAATTACCTTGTCATCGTTATCGGATTCCTCATTGCTGCCCACCTCGCTGCCGTTCTCGGAGCCATCCTTGACGGCCGTCTTTATCATTTTCTCCTGGCGATCCATGGCGCTGCTGCGATGACGCGTCTTCTTCCACGAATAATAATATTTGACCAGACTGGCTATCGATTTGTCTGGCAGCTAGTTGGGCACCAATTGATCATTATGAACATTTCATTAAATATATATGGAATAATAATAATTACCATTTGGCGTATGCGATGGAAGCTTTTGCCATGAAACTGAAATGCCTGATCGAATAGCACCTTGTCCTCGATGGTCCATTCATCCGGGAACGGTGTGAAATTTGCCAAATCCATGACGGCACGCTCCAGATCGTGTTTATGCCAGAACAGCATGCCCAATGCCTGTTCGCCATTGTAGCCATACTTCTCCTTTGCCACCGAAATGTATTCCTCCACTGTTCGGTTGAGAGATTGCAAGAGATTGCGAGAGATTATGTCAGTTATACGATCGATCTGCTGCATATGGTATATTGGGCTAAAGGGGCTGCTTACGCTTCATGTCGGGTATCTCCTTGGTGGGCGACCAGACCAACAAGGCGCGCTCGTTCATCAGCTCCGGACGGCGATCCAGTTCGGGCACCAGCTGTGGACACACCGCCTGATAGTCGCGTCCAACGCGTATTTTCTCTGTGAAGAATGCGTTAAGCTTTAAACATGGCTTGCGGGAATCGCTTGCGGATTGGCTTACCTTCGTATTCCGACTGCTTTGCCTTGGATTTGCCGTTGCGTTTTGTCGCTGCATGGAGATCAATAGGAAACAAAATTTCAATTTGAATGAAACAATATAAATATGTATGTACACATGTTTATAAGCATTACACTCACAGTTATCATCGTCGGAGCTCTCCGGTGTGCCGGCACCCGGTACGTTAGCTGTGGCCTTCTCATTGCCCGTGGAGTTTGTGCCACCGGATCCGCCGCCGCCGCCACCGCCACCACCGCCGCCGCCGCCGGCCATGCCGGTGGCAGAATTGTGGCCATGGCCAGCAGCACCGCTGCCAGCGCCGCTTGTATGTGTATTGGGGCTGGGTCCACGTGAGCGGCGGCCATTGCGCACAATGTCGCCGGTGTTGCGCTCGGCCAACACCATTTTGTCGCGTATGAGCTGGGAGCGTTTATTTTGTTTCTCCAGCGTGCCGATAATTATGCTACCGTTCGCCACTCGAAATTATTTAAGCGGCCAAGCCGTGGAGCAACTGCAAATGCAAGGCAAGAAATTATATTTACTTTTTTTCGTTCTTTTATTTAAACAATCTACCACACAAATCGAGAATAATGCTTTTTTTATTCGTACACAGCTTCACAACGAAAGGCAGCACACAGAATTCTTCGGAAAGAAACAAAAAAGAATCAGGAAAAAAAACCCAAGCAAAAAATGATATTAAATAGAAACTCGGCAGCGTTCGCAGCGCATTTGAGCAAAGTAGGCAAGCTGCGTTACGAGTCGCACTTTGTCGTTAACGGCCGTCGTGTGGTCGTGTAGTGTGTGCTGTCAGGCACAGTTATACATTTGTGTTTGTGCCTGTGCCTGTGCGTGTGCTGCCCCGCATATATATAATTATATGTACATGTGCGCTTGTGTGTGTTTGTGTGTGCGTGCGTGTATTCGCGCGTGTGCCCGTGTGCGAGAGTTGCGAGTGTGTGCGTGCGTGTTTATTGGCCCAAGCAGCTGAGATGCATTGCGAAGTGCACATTTTAAACACGTAAAAACGCACACAATACACTTTCAGCTTACCTTTAATGCTGCCCGTTGGCTCGTTCGCACAGCCAACAAAAAAAAAAAAAAAAAAAAACAAAAAAAAAACGTTAAAATAAAGACGCGCGCGCCTCACAAGAGCAATACGCGCGGGGTATAAGCGTTGCTGCTGCGACTGCTTTCGCTTATGTATTTACACGATTTGATGGCAAATTACAACGCGCAGCAGAATCGGTGAGCATGCAGTGCATACATTTGGTCGCGGCGTTTGCAATAATTGTCGAGTTTCGATTTGGAAACGCAGGACGCAAGCACAACGGCTAAGGCGACGGGGTTGTTGCGCGCAGGTAACTAAAACCTAAACTGAACGCGAAAAAAAACTCGCGTATGACAATTCTGCATTGGCCGTTCACAGTGCACTTTGCCAGTTACGACCGTAGCGTAGCTTTGTCTCTCGTTGGTCGGTAATTTTGTAGATATGCGATGTGGTAGAGCACAGAAATTTTAATCACAACGGTGCCTACAAATATTGTAGCGTTCTATTTGAACACCGTGTATTAATTTACATAGATATTATATGTAATATGGCTTAAAATCTACGCAAGAGCCGAAATTAATTTAAACTGTGGCTGTAACACGCAACGTTGCAAAAGATATTATCGATATTTTTTTTTGCAGCGGTATCGATTTGCTTGCTTGGCGATGCCAATGCAACATGTAGCGATCAAACAACTAATTTACAACTATTTTTGAATATGTTAACAATTTTCCTGCTGTAAACCTTTAAATTGTGCCATGAAACCTTATTTGCTTGTAACTTAAAACTAATGTAGCACTGAATTTGTTTGTGTAATTGTTGCCATAATATGCCAATATGATGCACATTTGAAAAATAAATTAGTGTTTATTTTTACTTTAAATATATATTTTAATAATAATAATTTATGAGCATTGAGCTATTTAGCTATTATGTAGCTATTTAACAAAGAAAACTCTTTGTTTTAGAAAACCGAAACATTTTTATAATTCTGAACATGTGACATTTTATTGGATGTGGCAACTCTTACAGCATGCTCGATAACCATAACGTGCGTATCGGTCCTGCTCTACATTCGCCAGTTTTCCGCTAGGTGGCGATACAGCGGGCGCAAAGTAAAGTCTCAGACGTGCGAGTGGTCGAATTTTTTTCTATACGTGAAATAACCGAGTGCAAATATCCAAACGCAACGCAATGGCTGCTAGATTTATACAGAGAATTGTAAGAATACAAAGGATATTAGTATAACAATATTATTAACAGCTTGCCAGTTAAGCACAAGCAAACATTGTGTGCCGCGATTGCCAACCCTTTCGCAACACCGCCTCCTCCCCCGCGCCGCAAGCAACATTTGCCCATTTCTGATTACGTGCGGCCTTCTAACGGGGGGGCGAAAAAAAAAACTAATAATACAGCTAAAACTAACATTCTGATTTTGTTTTTCAATCAAAACCACCCGCAACGAACCCTCCAACCAACCAACCAACCAATCAACCAATCAACGTGCAAACAATAACATTACGCAAAAACGAAAAACGAAAAAAAAAAATTTGCAGCTCAAGCAATTGGGTTTTCAGGCTGCGCGTGATGCGGCGCCAGAGTCAACGGCCTTGGCCGGAGCAACATTTAAAGCCAAGGTGCGTGCACTTTAAAAACAATAGCCCAGCTGCCCGCAGGAGAAATGGCTGCCCGCCATTGCGACTATAAGAATACACAGCAAAAGACAGACAAAAAGAAAATTAGAACCAAAAGCTTCTTTTACATAACACGAGTGTTCAATGGTGGCCGACGGCCGGATGGGCCGGGGGGTTTTTGCCTTGTGCGCCTATCTTGCCAAAGGTGCTAAGCAACAACAGCAATTGCTGATCAGATATTCTTTGTTTTTGGAAGCGTCTCCATCGTAAATTAATTCTTTTGCTTATCACTTCCCATTTCGCACGGGTTGCATAAAAAGCGATGGCAACACTCTGCCGCCTGCCTGCTGCCCGCCTTGCCAGATGTGTGCTCTAACCTCAACGCACGGTTGCAGCGCCGCCGCCGTCTGTGCCGTTTGCATGCGCGAGATGATGTCGCTTATGTAACCAGAGATCTGGCAACCTGATAATTGCTCAATTTGCATATATGTTTTTTTATTGCTGTTTGTTATTGTTGTGTGTGTTGTCTGTTATGATTAAATCTAAGTTGATTAAATTCTTGAAATTGCTTGCAGATCAACACAACGCCCGCTGCCAGCCGCGGCTATGCGTCCGGCGTCAGAAAGGTAACGCTTATACCCGGCGATGGCATTGGTCCAGAGATCTCTGCTGCTGTGCAAAAGATTTTCACTGCCGCCAAAGTGCCCATCGAATGGGAGGCTGTCGATGTGACGCCCGTCCGTGTAAGTATTTTCCAGAGTTTTCCGTTTTTTTTTTTTTTCAAATCAAGGCGCACAAAAAACGCTGGCAACGCTTATCAATAAGTGAGCGTTGCCAGCGAGCAGTAAAAAAAAAGTCTTATCGAAACGTTGTTAATTGCTAACCCAGGTGGCAACGCCATGCAAATTTTAAATATGAATTTAAAAATTTTCAAACGCTTTGTACACAGGGTCCCGATGGCAAATTCGGCATTCCCCAGGCGGCCATCGATTCGGTTAACACCAACAAGATTGGCCTCAAGGGTCCACTAATGACGCCCGTGGGCAAGGGCCATCGCTCACTGAACCTGGCATTGCGCAAGGAGTTCAATCTGTACGCCAATGTGCGTCCCTGCCGCAGTCTGGTTGGCTACAAGACGCTCTACGATGATGTCGATGTGGTCACCATTCGCGAGAACACCGAGGGCGAGTATTCTGGCATCGAGCACGAGATTGTCGATGGCGTTGTCCAGAGCATCAAGCTAATCACCGAGGATGCCTCCAGGCGTGTGGCCGAATACGCCTTCCAATATGCCAAAAACAACAATCGCAAGAAGGTGACCGTCGTGCACAAGGCGAACATTATGTAAGCTGGCGAGCTAACAGCCTTGGCCCAGAGCAAACAACAACTAATCCATAATCTTTTGCAGGCGCATGTCGGACGGCCTGTTCCTGCGTTGTGTGCGCGAAACGGCGCAAAAGTATCCCGAAATTCAGTTCGAGGAGCGCTACTTGGACACGGTGTGCCTGAACATGGTCCAGAATCCCGGCAAATACGATGTGCTGGTAAGTTCTCGAACGCACCTGTGCTCAATGCCAATATAACCCGAAACTTCCGACAGGTCATGCCCAATCTGTATGGTGATATTCTGTCTGATATGTGCGCCGGTCTGGTCGGCGGTCTGGGCCTGACGCCATCGGGCAACATGGGTCTGAATGGTGCTCTGTTCGAGTCTGTGCACGGCACAGCGCCCGATATCGCCGGCAAGGATCTGGCCAATCCCACAGCACTGCTGCTCTCGGCGGTGATGATGCTGCGCCACATGGAGCTCAATTCGTATGCCGATAAAATTGAGGCAGCCGCCTTTGCCGTCATCGCGGAAGGCAAATATCTAACTGGTGATCTTGGCGGCAAGGCCAAGTGTTCCGAGTTCACAAACGAGATCTGCTCCAAGCTATAAATTTGGCCCAGCAGCCAGCACACGCCGACGCAGTCGTTCAGAGTGTTTTAACAGAAGCAACAACAACAACAACAACAACAGGAAGAGACGCAGATGCAACAAGACACTCGCTACTCAAACCAAATAGCAACAACTACAACAACAACAACAACAACTACAACAACAAACAAGAACACTCACAAAACTTAGCCGACAGTTTTCTAATTTTCATTTTAGTTAATTCATATTTTTGAGAATGAGAGTTAAGCACCCCCAAAAAGTATTTTTATGTTCGAATACAACAATTATGATCGAATCAATTGAATTCGCTGAGATAACCGCCCCCCCCGCCCCTCCTCTACCCACCCCCTCCAAAAAAACAAAAACAAAAAAAAAGCATTGCATGTTAGAAATTTTGTTAGCTCAAGAATTTGACTTGGTCGTAAGCGTACAGTCAAGTATTTATTTGTCGCCATCCAGAAAAAAAACAAAAAACAAATTTTAAATCATAATAAGCAATAATTACTATTGTTCTATTATGATTAATAATATATATATAATACATATATGCCAGAAAAGTAATTGTAATTAATTATTATTTATTGTTCTTAGCATTTTTTTTTTGTTCTTCTCTTTAAATCTCCTATTCTTGTGCCTCTTGTGTTATGTTTAAAGATGTGTAGCTAAACAAATTGTAAGGAACAAAAAGTGCTTAACAAATTACACACACACACACACACACACAACATTTATTAGAATCAAAGTCAAGCCGAAAGTTGAGTGCATAACAAAAAACAAACAAACAAAGAAAAATCATAATAATATTGTAATAATTATTATAATTGAAACTATGCAGCGTACGAATTACAACAAAAAGAATGAAAAATAGCATATTGAAGATTTCAATTCAATTGCAATTGTTATTTGATGATAATTAAGCGTACCGTAATTGCAATTAGGCAAATGTCATGCAATTTGTTGAAAACTTAATAAAAAAATACATTCAAAAGAAACATGCTTCAGACTTAAACATAAATACATTCATTATGTAATCCGAATTGAAATGTGTATGTGAGTACAGTGAGCACTCGGCAAGTGAAACTGCCAGAAATTTCAATTCAAAGGAAATTATAGTTTATGAATTAGAATGAATCGAACTTTCTAGCGGAAAAAGCGGAAATTATATATACATATATATTATATATATATATTGGCTATATCTAACCATATTTGGTAGATGCCCATTTTGCATGGCGAGTAACTTTTGCCCGTTTAAAATGCTTTTTTATAGAGACTTTTTTTTAACTCTTACGAAACTTGTAATGTTTTCCACCCAATTTCCGTTCAAGGCGGTGAATTCAGCAGTCGGTGAATTATACATACAACATTTTATATAGTTGAGCTTTGAAAATGAGAGCTTCAAGCTGATTTCACGAGAATTCACATTGCAGTTTTCCACCCAATTTCCGTTCAAGGCGGTGAATTCAGCAGTCGGTGAAAGACGTATTCAACTTTTTGTAATGTTGAGCTCTGAATATTGGTTTAAAGCTAATCGGACGAGAATTAAAGCTAAATATAATATTGGATGCACATTGAATGTGGTTAAAATTTCGAAAGGTCCATAAAGGCCCATCAATCAGTCAATCAATCAATCAGTTGAATTAAAAACTTTTATGTAGATATCAAATAAATTCACAAGTCTCTGATTCTTATTTAATTATCATTTTATTAAAGAGTCATTTGAGTATTGTTTGCGAGATTTGGCAATGCGAGTGCTCACTGTGTAAGGAAACCTAACCTAAAAACAGCTCAATCAGTCGATCAATCAGTTGAATTAAACATTTACAAGTTTTTGATTCTTATTTAATTTTCATTCTGTTTGAAAGTCACCAGCACAAATGAGTATTGTCTGCGGGATTTGGGAACATCTTAGCGAATGCTTACTGTATAAAAAAAACCTAACCTAAAAACAGCTAGAATAAGATTTGTTAAGAGTATATTTAAGCTATTAATGCACTATTTAGGCAACAATATATTTGTACTATAATTGACGGGGCATCGGATCGGATCGGATCGGATCGGATCCAGGTCCAGTCCAGGTCCTAATACTCCTTGGTCTCCCAGGAGACGGAGACAGTGTGAGGCGGTGAGATCGGTATCAGATCGATATTATTGATGGGCAGCACGTGCTTGCCCAGCTCCGTGTTCTCGAAGAGGGTGCGTCCATTGAGCACGTAGATGTTGTTGCTGTTGGCGTAGAAGAATATGTTGATTTCGGGCTGATGGGACATCTCCAGGATGGCCTCGTTCTTCAGCACAATTTCCGTATTCGAGATGGTCAGCGAGACGCGCGTGGCCTCACCAAAGATATTGATGCCGCTGTGCTTCTCGTCGGGCGGCACGGTCTGCGACCGAAACTCCATGGCGACACGCTCGCGCCGGCCGACGCACATGATGTCCCATTCGGCATCGGGAACGATATCGATGCCGAACAGGCAATCGGAATTGTTGAGCAGCTCGGCAACATCGGCGCCCGTCTCGTCCTGGATCATTTGCTTGACATGCTCCGGCAGCTCGGTATAGGGAAAGATGTGCACATAGCCCTCTAGCAGCTGGAGGCCGTCGAGCAGGCCCTCCTTGGGACTAATCTCGCTGATCAGCAGCGGCGGACCCGCCGTCGGCTGATAGCCGACATTGTCCAGCGCATCATAGATGCGATACTCGTTGCCGGCGATCCGGGCGAAGCACAAACGCAACACCTCCACCGTTGAGCTGGTGGTCAGCGGCGCCACCACGCTCCAGGCGGATGCGATGCCCACATGCACGGGCAGATGCAGCAGCTGCGGCTCGATCAGCTCACCGTCGTCCGTCTCATCGGCGCCGTCCAGCTCGGCCAGCTCCACCTCGATATTGATGTAGGACTCCTCCATAATGGCCGATTGCGGTATATGCTCTATCAGATCCTGCTCGGATCCGGCTAGCCAATCGATGTTCGTCTCATCGACCAGCGTGTACTCCTGCAGCACCACCTCCTCCCCCTCCCCCTCCACCACCTCCTGCTCCTGCTCCGCCCGTTCAGCATTTGAATGCTCATCGTGCTCGGCATCGTCGACAACATCCAGCACATCCATTATATCCGTATCCAGATCCCAGCTAATGTCCCAGCTGTTCACGTCGCCAATCTCCAGCAGCATATCGACGGCGGCATTGTCCTCCGCATCCAGGGGCGTTAATTCCGATGACATCTCTCCCCCTCTCCCTCGCTCACTCTCTCTCTCCCTCGCTCCCTCTCTCTCCTCTCTCTCTCTCTCTCTCTCTGTTTGTGTATTGTTTCTATTTGGGCTCCTCCACGGATCACCTTTGGTTGGGCGCTTCCTTCTGAATATTTCCGAAGCGTTCAACAAGTTTTTGTTTTTCTTCCTTAACCTCACTTCGCGGCGTTTTGCTTTGCTAACGGTCTTTTTTTTTTGAAAAGTTCGCTTCGCTCCTGAATTTGCCCAAACCAATTCTCCAGATTCGTACCTGGTTTCGGTTCTTCCGGCGAGTTGGAATTCCTTGTGTTATTTTCTTTTTGTTTTTTTGTTTTTTTTTTTTTACGTTCAAGCGAACTGTCAAAGCACAATTTGATTGTTTGCTGTTGCCACCTCATGAAAATCATCTCCAACTATGACGTTTCGTATTGCCCGAAATTCAAAAACGATAAATCCATTGCCGGAACGCGTGGAACTGGCACACGCTCGAACCGTTAACCGTTAGCATTTGCGCCAGCGCGTTTTGAGTTTCAGAGCTCGGGCACGATATCGATAACTATTTATCGATAACTTGCGAGCAGTCGATAAGAAATCGAATACAATTTAAATTGAAAACAAATGTGTGAAATATTTAGAAAAGTGAAGCTGAAGCCGTTCGGTTCGGTTCGCGAACTTTTTCTTTGAAATAAATATATTAAGTTAATTACTTGGCCGTTGGCTGGTTCGGTTCACGGTTCGCGGTTCGTGAACTTGTTCTTTTCAACAAATATATAAATTGATTGGTTCGGTTCGCGGTTCGTGAACTTGTTCTTTTGAGTAAACATATTAATTGATTGGTTCGGTTCATAGTTCGCGGTTCGTGAACTTGTTCTTTTAAGTAAACATATAAATTGAAGGTTCGGTTCACTGTTCGCGGTTCGTGAACTTGTTCTGTTAAGTAAACATATTAATTGATTGGTTCGCTTCGCGTTTCGTGAACTTGTTCTTTTCATTAAACATATAAATTGATTGGTTCGGTTCACAGTTCGCGCTTCATACTCTTGTGTTCCTCTTAAATGAACTAAAAAAATATATTTGTTCCCTTTTAGGTTTATGATTAGTTCGTTTTGTGAGTGCGATTCCACTGAACCAGTTCAAAGCCTCTTTCGCATCGGTTCCACTTGGGATCAATTCCAGCTCAAGGCTGATCAGCCTTATCTAAATTCGGGACCCTGAAAATGCGCCCAAAGATGGTTTTGACAACTCTCGAATTTGTTTAAACATTTAATTTTCATTTTAATGTGTTCTTTTTTGTTTTTTTTTTTTGTTGCATTTTTTGCTGCAATTCTTAGGACATTTACTTATTTTTTACAAAAAAAAAAATTGTTTAGTTTTTCATGTTCTCATTTTTTTAGTTTTTCTTTTTTTTTTTTTTCTAAAGTCTAGATACACATAGATATTATTATTATTATAATTATTGTGGTATAGTATTTATGCTTGTCATATATATATATATTTTTTCTTTTTATATATATATATATATATGTATATATATAATGTTATTTAACTCCTTTCAGTTGCTTTGGTGCAGAACATAAAAATTAAAATATTGGTCGCGCTCTCTCTCTCTCGCTCTCTCTCTGCCTCACTCTTACATTGTCTGTATAAATATATATATTTCTTATTTTATTTAAACGCACACACACACATTTATTTATATTCTCTTAATACACATTTGGGGATTATATATATTCTTATTCAAATAAAACATTTATATATATAATTTTTTTCTCTCAATTCTTAATTTCTAGCTTCCTTTTGTTTTGTTGCTTTCTTTCGCTCCTGCTCCTGCTCTTTCTCTTTCCTTTCTTTTTTTTATCTTAGCCTAAACTTAAACTAATTTATTTTCTTTTACATTTCCAATGTAAAAGGAAAATTAAAAAAAAAAAAATAGAAAAAAAACAATTAAAAAAAAAAAAAAACTTTGCACGTGAATTTCCTAAGCAACATTTTGGGCTGAGCGAGAGAGCGCCAAAGAGTGAGAGAGAGAGAGAGAGAGTGGGAGGGAGAGAGAGCACGAACAGGGTTGTCAGCATTTTCTTAGATTAAGCAAACAAAAATAAAGAATCCTGTTGCAAATTTCGAAAGCTAGCATCCAGTTGGAGTTCCTGCTGCTCCGGGCAACCCTGCCCCCCCGGCCCACCCGATCCTCTACTGGAACGGCACAAACTTGGCCAGATCGGCGGCGGCGGCGTTGGCGGCGGCAACATTGGAGGAGACGGCGGGACGCGGCGCAATAGCCGGATTGGTGACCGTGATGGGCAGCTCGAGAGATGTGGGCACACCGCTGCCATTGCCATGGCTGGTCACACCGATCACGGCCAGACTATCCTCAAGATTGCCCTCGAGCAGCGGCGAGACGCGCCGATGCAGCTGCAGCCCGCCGCTCGGATTCTCCAGCGTCGACATGATGGGCGTCTGATCCAGCAGCGCGTTCGTCTCGTTCGTGCGCGCCGTTATCGGCGGCGTCAGGTGCGTCGTTGCTCCGGCCAGGGGCAGTGCGTGCGCCATGAAACCGACCACATCATCCGTGGCCATGCCCACAGCCACGCCCACGCCCGCGCCCGCGCCCGTTGCCTGCTGTCGCGTATCGATGTGCAGAAGTCCGACGCCGGCGTCGACCACATCGCTGCCGGCAAGCGCCGCGGCCAGCAGATCATTTGGCTGCGCCGGCGGCACCTGTGCCGACGTCACCTGTTGCTCATCCGCATCGAGGGCCATATCCTCGAGATTGACCAGCTGTAGATCGCGCTCCTGCAGATAGTTCTTGGCCGCCTGCAGTATGTCGCTGGCATGGAGCATGGCCTGGCCGCCGCCATCGATCTCGATGACAATATCATCCTGCTGCTCGGCTATGTTCATCAGCACCTCGGTGGTCAGCTCCAGCTGGTGGCCATTGACGCTCAGCTGCAGCACATTCGACTGCAGCTGATAGATCTCATCGTGCGACGACGGCGGCGGGGCCACAGTCGCCTCCGGCTGATCATGCCCAGCCCCAGCTCCAGCCACATCCTCATTCTCCTCATTCTCCTCATTCTCATTCTCATCCTCATCGTCGTCGTCGTCGTCGTCGTAGTCGTTGTCGTCGTTGTCGTCTTCATCTTCGTCCTCCCCCTCCTCCTCGGCCGGGTGGTCTGCATCGGCATCACGCTCGCCCCGGGGCATGGTCTCGGCCACCTGGCTGAGGGGCGTCATCATGCCCAGCATGGCGGCCGCCGCGGCGGGCACCTCCTGCTCCTGGCCAGCGCTGAGCGCCAATTGTCGTGACGATGCCGCCGCCGCCGCCTGCTGCTGTTGCTGCTCCGGCTGGACCACCTGCGCCATGGCCTCGCCCTCCAGCAGAAAGACCGCCGACAAGGGATGTCCGTCGGGCAGACGCGGCGATTCGGTCAACGCCTCCAGCGGCACGGGCACCAAATGATTCTCGCTGTCCAGGTACAGCGCCTCGTTGTTCAAGGGCGTAAAATTGTTGTTGTTCGTCAAGGAGCAGAGCATGAAGGTGTTATTGTAGCCGGGTATCGGATGCGTCATCACGGCGCAGATGCGCGGATCTGTATTGGAATCCTGTTGCTGGCCCGGCTCCTTGTGCTCCCCACCCAGCTCCGGCTGGACCGGAGGTGATGATGGTCCCGATGTCGCCGCCTCCGGCTGCTCCTCGCCAGGCTGCTGCTGCTGCTGCTGCTCCGACTCTGGCTCCGGCTCCGGGCGGCTGCGTCGCCGTCGCGACTCGGGATTGGGGCTCGTGCGTCGCCTCTTCAACAGCTGCTGCTGCTCGCGCAGCTGCTCCAGCTGGCGCCTGGCTCTGGCGACCACCGTCTCGTCCTGGAGCATGGCCAGCGCCAGGCAGGATTTGGGGCGCACAACAACAGTTGCCGCCGCCGGCAGCGTCTCCGCCGTCGGCTGCTCGCTGACGGCACGCTTGCCCCAGCGCAGCAGCGCTCGGAGCGGCAGCTGCTCCAGGCGCAGCAGCAGCTGGCGCTCGTCCGAGTTGGGCTTGTGCAGGCTACGGGCGCGCGCCCAACGCTGTCGGGCAATGCGACAGATCTCGGCGCTGCGTCCGCTGGTCATGTCCGCCTCGTATTTGCGTAGCATCTCGCGTTCGCGCTTCTTCAGTTTTCCCTCGAAGCGCAGGCCTGTTGGCGGCGTCGAGGGATTGCTGTTCGCCCAGCTGGACGAGGAGGTGGCCGGCGGCGAGTCCTCTAATGTGCGCAAATGCTCATACTCTTCCCGTTCCCGTTCCAGTTCCAGTTCCTCTTCACGCTCCCGTTGCCGTTCACGTTCCAGCTCCTCTTCTCGCTGCCGTTCCCGTTCCTGTTGCTCCTGTTGCTGCTGCTCCTCCGTCTCCGCCTCCGTCTCCTCGTCCGCCTCCTCCTCGGCTTCCTGCTGCTGCTCCTTGTCTGGCCTGTGCCTCGCCGGCTGCCGTCGCAGCTGACTCCGACTGCTGGCAAAGCTGGCGCTGCTGTTGCTATTGTCGGAGCTGGCGCCCACCGGCAGCTCGTAGAGATTGGGCAACAGTATGTCCTCCAGTATGAGCACAGCGCTCGATTCTGTCGCCGTCGTCGACTCCTCGGCCAGCGCTGGTGCCGAACGCTGCAGCTCGCGCGCCTCCTCCGCCGAAATGACGGCCATGTTGGACGTTATGGAGCTGCTGTTGCTGTTGCTATTGCTGTGCGCCTGCTGCTGGAAGGAGCTCGTGTTGCTGTGGTTGCTGTTCGTGTTCGTGCTCAGGTGCAGCAGCGCTGCGCTGCTGCCGCCCGCTGCCGACGCAGCTCCCGAGAACAGCCCGCCGCCGGAGTAATGGGCGTGGCTGTGGGCGTGGCCATGCTGGTGGGCATGGGCTGGAATCGGCGCTTGGACTGGGTATTGAGCTTGATATTGGCACAGGGTTTGCGCTGTGCTCAGCTCCGGTTCTGGTTCCGGTTCGGGCTCCTGTTCCGGTTGCGGTTCCGGCTCCTGTTTTGGCTCCAGTGCGGGTTGTGGCTTTACCTTGGGGAAGGTTTGCGTTTTTTTGCTGCTCGATTTGTTTTTCTTTTTGGTTTTCGACTTGGTCTTCTCCTCCCCCGGCACGTCGCTCTTCTTCTTCTTCTTCTTTTTGGTAACGGGCGCCACGCCCCCTGCTGCGCCCTCGCCGCTGACGTTGACGTTGACATTGTTGTTATTGTTCTTCTTCTTCTTGGCCTTGGCCTTGGACTTGCGACGTCGTTGCTCAGTCCTCGGATCGGCGACGCCGCCAGCGGCGCCTCCATTGGCCAGCCTGGGATCGAGAGGCGGCAGCGTCAGCTCCGTGTGCAGCGGCAGCAGGTGCTCCATGAAGGCAGATGCCGCCATTGCCGCCGCTGTCGCTGCCGCCGTCGCTGCCGCTGTCGCTGCCGAGGTCGTCGTCGAGGGCTTCTCCTCGGGCGCGGGCGCTGGCGCTGGCGTCTCCTCCGTATCGAGCGCCTCGTCGCGCTGTGCCGCCGCCTGCTGGGATTTGTTGCGCGACTTAAATATGCGCTTCTGTCGCTCCTTGATGGGCAGACTGAGCTGCTCCTGCTCCTGCTCCTGCTCCTGATCCACATCAGCCGCATCCAGCTCGGCGGCCTCGGCAACGGGCGCGGCCGTCGCCGCCTCCAGCTGCTGTTCCGGCTCGTTGAAGCCCTTGAAGTTCTCCGCCAGCTGCAGCTCCGGCTCGGCAATTGACTGCTGCCGTTCTCGTTCCCGTTCCCGCTGCTTCTCCTCGCCATTGGTTAGCGTCGTCGTCGATGGGGCGGGCTTTGTGCGTCGCCTGTAGCTCAAGCCATTTTGACCATCCGCCGGCAGGGCGGCTGGCTGCAGTGCAGCATGCTCCTCATCATCCTCCTCGGCAAAGTCAAAACAGGAGGAGCCAGCCTTGATCTGCTGCGCCTGGGCCTGGGCCTGTGTATTTGCCTTGGACAGACGCTGCTGCTGAGGCTCCGCGGAGTCGACGAAGACGACGCTCTCGTTGGAGCTGGCGTCGCTGTCCTGTATTATGATGGGCTCCTCGGGCGCGCCCATGTCGAACTCCTGCAGCACCACGTCGCGCCGATCCTTCTTTGGTATGTTGCGTATGCGTTTCGATGAGGTGCTGCCCGGCGGCAGCTGCGTCTTGCCGGACGGGCCGGGCTCCAAGCTCTCCTCCTCGGCAAAGTCCTCCGCCGCCGCCGTCGTTGACTTCGGCTGAGGTTGGGGCTGGGGCTGAGGCTGAGGCTGGGGCTGGGCGCGTGGTAGCATTAGCTTGTGATGCAGCTGCTTCTTGTGCAGCGCCTCGGGGGGCTGTCCATTGGTCTGCTGCTTGTTGAGCACCTCGGGCAGCTCCTCCTGCTCGTAGTCGCCCCACTCGGCGAGCAGCCGACGCTGCAGCTCACGCGATGCGGCCGCAACGCCCTTGACGGTATCCCGTTCCGGTTGACTTTCCGCTTGATTTTCCGTTTCAAGTTCCCGTTCCGGTTCCAGCTTCGTCTCCGGCTGCTGCTCCACGGCCTGGATCGTCTCCTGCTGCTGCTCCTGCTCCGTCTCGGCGCGCAGACGCTTGCGTCCGCGCTTGACCACGATGGGCGTCGATGTGTAATTGGGCTGGGTTTTGGCCTTGAGCTTCGACTTGTTGCCCTTGGCCGGCACGGGCGTCGGGCTGGGCGTCATCAGCGTCAGAGTCTTGCGCTTGCTCGGCGCCGGCGGCGTTTGCGGCGACACCAAGCCAGACATGGCCGCCGGCTGCGCAAATGGCAACGATTGAGCTGCCGCTGCTCCTCCTGCTGCAGCCGCTACGCCTCCTGCTTCGCCTGCTTGCGAATGGGACAAGCTGGGACTGCGCTCCTGCTGGCGGCTAATGGAGCGCGTCAGGCGACGCACTTTGGCCGGCGGCGTTGGCGGCGTCGGCGGCAGCATCGGCGGCGCCGGCATCGTGGCGCGCAGCTGATGGCAGCGTCTGCGTCGCGGATCCCGTGCGCTCATCAGCTGGGTGCTGCGACGCTGCAGCTGCAGCGCGACGGAGCACTCGCTGCTAAGTGTCTGCAGGTCGCGTTCGTGTTCACGTCGACGCTCCCGCTCCCGTTCTCGCTCCCGCTCCCGTTCCCGTTCCCTTGTCGCCCTGGGCAGGCGTGCTCGTGCACGCGCCCGCTCTCGCTCGCGATCCCTGTCCAGCTCTTGCGTCGGCGACTTGACCACACGCTCAATGCTGGCCAAGGTTAGCTGCGCTATGCTCGCCACCTGGCGCTGTTCCTCGTCCGTGAGCGGCGCATCGACCACAATGGACACGTGCCGGGATTGGCAGCGCCACAGCGACGAGGAGTACGTGTCCCGGCTGGCCGATGTATTGGCCCGTCTCGTCGCCCGCTGCTGCAGCAGCTGACGCACATTGGCGCCGCCGACTCCGCTGCTGCTGCTGTAGATGCTGCAGCTGCTTGTGCTGCATCCACCTCCGCCTACTCCTACGCCAGCTACTCCTCCACCTCCATATCTGCTGAGCTCCAGGTGGGTGCGACGATGGATGAGCAGCACGTTCATGCTGCTCGTGTGAAAGTCGCACAGATTGCACTCGTATCGCTGATCGTTGCGTCCCTCCGGACGCGCATAGGCAGCAGCCGGCGCTCCAATGTCCATGATCCGTATCGTCGAGTCCTGCAAAATGCAATTACATGCTCTTCAATCAAGGCAAACCCAGCGAAATGCCCACAAGCCCAGCGATTGTTCACATATTGAAGCAGCCTGATTGAAGGAATATCTGGAATCTCTTGCATGGACAAGTACTCTGACCTGGCTGGAGGATATCCTCCAACTAGCTGCCTTCTATACGACTGCGCTTCTTCTTCTCCTCCTCCTAACCTCCTTTAACTTCACTATGAGAGTACGGCTATTGCCCGGCCTTGCCAACAATTGTTGATATTACTTTGTGACATTCACAAAACGAAATGTAAGAAATGTGTACAGTGGAATTAGGCTATAACAAAAAAAAAGTGTTTTCTGACAGGCCACATTTTTCACATTCGACGAAAATGTGATATTCGCCAAAAAAAAAAAAAATAAATGTAAGAAATGTGAACAGTGGAATTAGGCTATAAAAAAAAGAATGTGTTGGGAAAACGTACGTAGGCCACATTGTTCACATTCGACAAAAATATGAAAAATTCGCAAAACGAAATGTAAGAAATGTGCACAGTGGAATTAGACTATAACAAAAATAAAAAATGTGTTTTCGGAATGCCAAAACGAACAGGCCACATTTTTCACATTCGACAATGTGACATTCGCCAAAAAATGTAAGAAATGTGGACAGTGGAATGGGGCTATATCATCTAATTTTACACCTTTACCAAGAATTATTTGTCAGCCCACATTTTTCACATTCGACAAATGTGTGACATTCGCAAAACGAAATGTGAGAAATGTGAACAGTGGAATTAGGCTAATTTGACAACTTGATTGCTTAAATTTTCAGTTCAACTAACTTCTTCTCCCATCTTCTCTCTGATGATCACAACAAGCACTACAGGGTATTCTGCAGTCTGGAGTCTTGGCTGCCTCGTCTAAAGTCTTCCATTCTAAGCTATTTAGCATATAGTTCAAACTCTGCCCAGACTCACATTTCGTAGGGATGTCGTTGGCCCAACTGTTGCCGGACTTGTTGCCACATTTACTGTGCTGATTGTCCGGTTGCAGTTGCAATTGCAGTTGCAGTTGCAGTTGCTGCAGTTGTTGTTGATGTTGTTGTTGCAGTTGTTGTGGAGATGGCTGCAGTTGTTGCTGTTGCCGTTGCCGTTGCTGCTGCTGCAGTTGCTGTTGCTGCTGTTGTTGTTGTTGTTGTTGTTGTTGTTGATGTTGAAGAGGCTGTTGCTGCTGCTGCTGCTCGAGAGCAGCGCTTTGATCAGGCTTTCGGGCCGAGCGGCAGCTTCGGCTGCCTCATTGTTGGCCGCCCAACGATTCTCGGCGTACTTGACATCCTCGTTGAACTTGTCCCTCATGTCCGGGGCCACGGATTTTCCTGTAAGCAACCAATACAAATTAGATTCTATTCGTTTTTCAAATCAATAAAGTGCTCCCCGACTGGCAGATACACTGTACCGAGCGCCGAGCTGCTGTGCGAAACTTTCTACAAGGATCTCTACGAATTGAACTAGAAATCGCGAGCATTTTAATCGATACAAAAATATTGAGATAAGTATAATAAGGAAAACAGATTAAGCGAATGCTTGAGAATAGTAATTTTAAATATCTTCTCTATTTGCTAGCTGAATTTTAGATCTAGTTAAAGAAACTCTTGGGAATGCGAAGACTGAAGAGTTTCTGTTAACCTCTCGGTACTTCATGAGCTGGATTTTAGATCTAGTTAAAGGCATATAACTGAAGACCTTCTTTTTACCGTTCGTACTTCTTTCTTTTATTCGCTGGCAATGAAAATTGTAAAAGGAAAGGCATACTATCTTAGAGACAACTCTTCAAGAGATCTCGAGTGGGATCTCACGAAGTAATCGAAGCAACCTTTTACGACATTCTTGTTGTCTCGGCTGCCAAATCTAGTTGCCCGGTTGACGAATGTCATGGGGTTGAAACACTTGCCCGGACGGTTTGGATTGCTAGAGAGCTCATATTTATTTTATATCTCGTGGTGTTCATATCGAGCATACGAGCTCCTCAAAAAAAAAAAAAATATATATATATATATATATTTGTATATATATTAAATTGGTATTTTTTTGTATTTGGACTTGAAATATTTCGTACGTCTTTTTTATATATATATTTTTTTTTGCCAAACAACGTGGATGAAGGAGAGAAGAAGACAAACTTGAATCCCTGCACGAGAAGCCGAAACTAAGCGAAAAGTGGATCAAGAAAGGAAGAGAGATACGCATGCGAACAGAGGAAAGAACGCGAATCTGAAAACGCAAGTCGAAGTGGAAAACGGAAAGCAGTGAAACCCGAAAACGAAAGCCGGAATAAAGGTGAAAGGAGGAACGAAGAGAATTGCGCAACAACACGGAAAGTGAAGTCTGAGCTCGGAAATACAAAACCCCGTAGGTGGAAGAACAAAAAGAGTGGAATCCTAATGTGAATTTACATCCGCAAAGTGGAAGAAGAAGAAAAGGGAAGGGTAAGGCAGCTGGATAAACGCGGTTCGAAGTGAATGAAGCAAACCCGAAGAGTGGAGCAATTAGAGAATTGTCCGAATCTGAGCCCGAATCCGTGTCCGTGTGGATGAGCTGCTGCCAGGACATGCGTTCCGTTTGGTGCGGCGCCGCTGGCAGCGGAGCAGGCGCGGCCGCTGGTGGAGGCGGCGCCGGCGGCGGTGGAGTCGGCGGCGGCGGCGTCGTGGACACCGGCAGCTTTCTGACGAACATAATCAGCGCGGCGGGCGCCATCTCACAGCTGCGCCTGCAGGCGATCTTTGACAATGTAAAGCCGCCGCTGCAGCAGGCGCTGGGCAGTCGCCACAGCGGACCCATCATTGTCGGCGGTTTGGCAACTGGCGTATTAATCTACTGTGGACATCGCTGGCTGAGCAGCAGCAGCAGCAGCAGCAGCAGCACAGCGGGCGGCGCCAAGCAGAAGGAGCCGAACGGATGGAAGCTCAAACCTGCCGTAACCGGAGATGCGGACAACGAGGATGTTCACCTTGAACTGGAGGCGAGCCACTTTGGCGGCGAGCAGCAGACATCGACACAGGAGTCGGCCGCTGTCAATCAGGAGCAGCCTCTGGGCCTGCTCGAGTTCGAGGAGATCGAGTAGCGGCAGCAGGAGCAGCAGCAGCAGGAGGAGGAGCAGCAGCAGGACATGTGCATATTTCGGTCTAATATATGAATCCCGTCCAACAGCTGATAAATAATACACAAATTTATTAACCCGAAACCCGAATTTCCCGGGACATTTTCTCGTGAGAAGTTGAGCATATTATTATATTGTAATTTCATTCCGTTTCTCTATTAAAGGCCAAACATTTTCTCTATACATTTAAAAAGCCTTGGCTAACTTTCGCTCTTTCCGCCAATATTTCACTGTGGCGCGTGAAAATTCCAGAATCGACAAGCCAAATTTCCATTCAACTCTTGTGGAGGACTTAACCCCCATTATCTACCCAAAAGTGTTGGCTCTTCCATGATGTGAAACGTCATGAGAATTTCGTTAATGTGCTTTCATGAACTTTTAGCCCCATTTCCGACAAGAAAGCGTGAAATTCCCGAAAAGTGAAAGTGAAACTGACGGCGTGAAATTCCCGAAAAGTGAAAGTGAAACTCACGGCGTGAAATTCCCGAAAAGTGTGAAACGCTCAAAAGGATTTTCGAACAAAGATCTGTGAAAATGAACTTGAGGCCCATCGTTGGGCAAAGAAAGCTGCGTGTAATCATTTCCACGACTTTTCCGCAACTGCAGGTGGAATTTCGAAAAACCATCTCCATAGCACAAACTAGCTAGCTCTTCCGTTTGCTTGGTCAGTCATGACAGATATATCTTTTATACAAATACATATATATATATATATGAATGCCGTTAAAGTTTAAGCTTTAATACTCTGGCTCTGTTAGTGTAATGTAAATAATATAATGTGCTACTCACTTGTGCCCATTTTGATGAACTCCGATTTGTGTTCGCATTGAAATGGATAAATCAGCTTTGCCGTGTTCACCTGTTCGCTGTTCGCGGAGGCAGGTCAGGAAAGAGAATGGTTTATTAAGAGTTTTGATTTTAGGCTGGGAAAGCGCACACTTACAAGGTTCGCTCATTGAAGAACTCGACGACTGCGAATGGACGTCGCGAGCTGTTGACGAAACGAAAGTCCTGCGAGGAGGTCACCTCGCCGGGCCACCAAATCTCCGAATTGTGTATCTTAACCCAAACAATGTCGCCATCCTTGTACCTGGTCTCTACCAGCTCATCGTTCCGAAAGCGCGGCATCTTGCTGCAAAGCAAGAGTGCTGCTGCGGCTGCTGCTTAGAGCTCGTAGTCCAAGTCGTTGTCGGGGCTTTGTCCGCGTCGTCTGCTCCTAGTCCTTAGTCTAATACTTGTCCAGTGGTTACATCGGGCATCGGCAGCTGCAAAAGCACATACGAGAGTTTGGCTTAAAAAACGCATTTCAGTGCAGAACTCTAACCTGATTCGTTAACAGCTGTTCTTCCATTTACAGAACTGTTAACATAAACCTCAAACTATTCAATTAACATATGCTATGCTGCTGTTAATAGCAGTTAAATCGTTAACAGTTGTTCTTTCATATACAGAACTGTTAAGGTAAACCTCAAACTATTCAATTAACATATGCTATGCTGCTGTTAACAGGTGATTCGTTAACAGCTGTTCTTCCCTTTACAGAACTGTTAACGTAAACCTCAAACTATTCATTTAACATATGCTATGCTGCTGTTAATAGCAGCTAACTCGTTAACAGGTGTTCTTCCATTTACAGAACTGTTAACATAGACCTCAATTGACTCACTAACATTTATACGAAAATTAACAGCTGTTAACGTAACATGAATACTTATGCTAAAATCGAACTGTTGTCTTCCTAACAGCTAACAGATCATGTAAAAACTCAATAAAAGTGAAGTCTAAATGTTAATTATGTAAAATACGGATACCAAATCTCAAATATGAATCGAATCATAAGTTGCGCTTACTTCCCCTAAATCTCAACCCAACTAAAAGTTGGTAACAAAAAGCAATATTTGTCAGGTTTATGCTGGCTTTAATTAATTTATTAATTTTTTTGTTGTTTTGTTTTATTAATGAGTAATTCTTTATATAATGTCATTACAATATTTTGATATATATTTCAATGTATTTGTATAGTTGTGTATATATATATTTATAGATTTATAGAGTTTATTTTTAGAGTTTATATTTTGTAAACGCAATAAATTCTAAATGAATTTAAAAAATGTTGCATCCAAACTTGACAAAAGACAAAAGACACGGAATCGAAATCGAAAAAACTTACGACAAGTACAGTTACAATCAAGTGTTGGCTAACGTTTCAAGTAAAACGCTCATCATTTATTTCGCTCGTACATAAATATACGCATTTATAATTGTATTTAATTGCATAAATATATATATATATATCTGATTTTAAAGCAAACCTCTCAGTTCTAATTGCTGCGCGCTTACATTGCTAGCAGAGAGACAGAGACAGAGAGAGAGAAAAAAAAAGGACAAACAATGAATATAGTGGTAAAAATCTGAGTAAATGTTCACAAAAAGTAAATGTTTTAAAAAAATATATATCGTCTTACACACTAGGCTACGGTTTATGTTTAAGTTCTTGTGTCTCTTAAGTTTTGTGTAAAGTACATCAATATAACAGCGTCATTCCAATCACAATTTAGCACAAATAACATTTCAAAAATGAACTTTAAAAAAAATCTCGAGTTGAAAACAAAAAGTTATAAAATCTAAAGGCAAACGGCATAAAACTAACAGAGTGAGAGAGACAGAGACAAAGAGCATAAAAAAAGTCAGCGACTGTTATTGCTAACAGCAGCTCTTAAAGAGAGCGCGTTAACATTATGTAAAGTACAGCACCGTTTACTGTAACAGTTAACATTCAAACAATGACTGTTAGCAGACTGTAAAGATCTTTTGTTTCGTGTTCATGTAAGTACACTGTTAAATGATACGGAATAACATTACAAGCTACAGCAGCTGCAGTTGCTGTTAAAGTGTGTGTGTGCGCGTGCGTGTGTGTTTGGGTAATGTTAATAATATTTGCTGCTGTCGATTATTAAGTTACTGTTAAAAATGTTAACAGCACAAAGTACAAAGCCATTTAGCAGACATTTAAGCTGTTGCTGTTGCTAAGCGCATAATTATTGTATGTTATCTGCAACTGTTAAAACACCTGTTAGCATAACATTGAATTTGAACAGCCAATAACTGTAAGCAACAGTTGGTTCTAATGGCCGGCCACAATACATAATGCCGTACGTAAACTGTCTCTGTTAATGTAAGTGCTGTGCTAACAGCGACTGTTAAGCCTGCTGTTAACATTACAACGCCAGCGCTGTGTATGCTGAGTGCTATATGTTTGCTATTTTTAGTGGGTTGATCGGACTTTGGGTTCGTTAGGTTTCGTTTGGGTTGGGGTTGTTGGCTTTTACAATGTCTTGGATTTGGTTGGCTTGTGGATGGGCCGCAGGCAATGTCATTGGGTATCAAGACGAGCGCCGCCGTTGCCATTGCCGTTGCCGTTGGTGTTGGTGTTGGAGGAGGAGGAGGAGGCTGCCGTTGCCGTTGCCACATCATCGCCCACGATGAGCACCTTGCCGACACCATCGGGCGCGACCAGCTCACCGCTGAGACCATCCATGCCCGGTTGGGTAACATCGCCGGGTATCTTTGGTTTCGGTCGATGCGTATCGACCGCATCGATGGGCAGCTTAATGTGCTCCACCTTGCAGCCATAGGCGACGGGCGTCAGTTTAATAACCGTATGCAGCGGCACATACAGATACGGCAGCTCATCGGCTGACTTGTCCAGAAAGTAGGCGAACAGGCAACGCAATACGGCCTGATGTGATACGACCAGCACATTGCCCTGCCGCTCTAGTTCCATAATGACGGGCTCGAGTCTGGCCACCAGATCCTCATAGCTTTCGCCGCGCGGATAACGATACGCAAACTTGTTAACATCGCGCGCCTTAAACTCCTCGGGAAAGCGTTCCTTGATCTGTTCATAGGTCATCTCCTCACAGTGTCCGGCATCGATTTCGTTGAGCGCCTTCCAGCGTTCCTGCGGCGCCTTAACATCCGCCACCGTTTGTATGGCACGCTTCATCCACGATGTCCATACGCGCAAGCCATCAATCTGTTGCTGGTCTATAAACGAGGACAAGGCCCGTGCATACTGATGACCACGTGCACTCAAATTGGAATCGCCGCCAATTAGGCCGCTCAAATTGTGCTCAGATTCGCCGTGACGTGTCAGATAAATGGTGCGCGGCGTTATATGTATATTCATCAGATAGTATACGATGCGCGATTCCACATGACCCTCGTTATTGTAGACGACCACCTTTTTGCCGGCATTGTAGACCTTCATGAAGCTCAGATGGGATTCGGCAATCTCATCAATTGGCTGATAGCGTTCCTCATAGTGTTCGATGCGTTGCAGAAAATCGCGTACAACCAGCTCTGTATTCATATTGATATAGTCCGGCGAGCTAACCTTCACCTCCAGTATATTCTGTTCAATTATTTGCGGATCATCGCATATCGATTCCACAAAGAACAAACGAAAGCCATGCTGTTTAACAACAATATCATAGATCAATTGGCGACGATCGTGCGTCGAATTGGTCGCATCGAATACGGCAATGCTGCCTAATCCGCTCAATAGCCATTCGCAGGCATCGTGCAGTGCCTGGTTGGCGCAACGATTCCGTATGGCCATGGCCTCCTCGTTGTCGGCACGAAAGAATTCGTGAGATTTGTATGCGGTTGTTGCATGCCGACGATATTCACCCAAATTGAAGACACGCGTCGCAATACCAATCCAGTTAAGATAACGTGCCAGTTTCTTTGATATAAATGTCTTGCCCCTGGCCGGCAGACCCACCATGGCAATCACATGCGGTGTTGTGCAATCGGCTATGGTGCGTTCACCGCGTATCGGAAATGGTTTGGTCATAACCGTTTCCGATGTGGGCGGCAACAATTTGCGCAGCTCATCGGACATTATTGATGGACAGACATGCAGCTCATTCTCGATGGCCAGATCGGCTGTCTTCTTAAGCTGATTGAGCGAGGTGGTCCGTACGCGTAGCGACGGCGAGGTGTTATAGGGCATATCCATGATGCTGCTGGCTGTCACGGAGCGTACCACCTGTTTGGCCAATACAACGGATGCGGCGGCAACTGCGGCGTGTTGCTGCTCCAGCTGTTGTTGCAACAAATCGCCAGAGATTCGCAAACTATCAGCACAGCAGCAACAGTTGCACTGTGAACTGGAATTGGATATGGAATCGGTTATGGAATTGGATATGGAATTCGAATCAGATGCGTTGGCGTATTTAGAGGTTATCGTATTGGTATTGTTATTGTCTTTGGCCAAGTTTTGGGCGGATGCTTGTTTAGCAGGCGTCAATTTTTGATAAAGCGTCGGCAACAATTTGGCAGCAACTGTTGTTGTTATAGCTTCTGTTGCTGCTGCTGCTGCTGCTGTTGTTGCTGCTGTTGTTGTTGTGGAAGGTAGCTCGGATGGGTTGTCCTCATCGGTTGGAGCCAAACTAGCTGCAATGTAATTGAAATGTTTTGAATTGATGCTGCTGTTGTTGTTGTTGTTGTTGTTGTTGTTGTTGCACTGCAGCTGTTGCTGCTGAGATGCTGTTGTTGCTGTTGCTGTTGTTGTTGTCGCAGGCGCTGCTACAGTTAACAGTTGTTGTTGTTGTTGTTGTTGTGGCGTGAGACATGAAATTAGGCGAGTATTTGTTTTAATTGTTTGTGTTGTTGTTTGAAATGGAATTGTGCTTGTTGTTGTTGTTGCTGATGGATTGCATGAAGTTGTTGTTGTTGTTGTTGTGTGTTCCACACAAAGCAGCCCAACATTATTATTCATAAATATGTGCGTGTGTGTGTGTATGCGTGTGTGTGTGTGAATGGGCGTGCGAATTGTATGCAAAGCAAAACCAACAAAAAAAAAAAACAAAAAAACACAAAAATAGGTAAATAAAATATAATACCAAAAAATGAAAACCAGTTAAAAGAAATGAGTAAAAGGAAAAAACAAAAGTATAAAGAAATAAAAACTGGCCAAAAAAAAGTAGTTTTAAAGCGAAACTAGATAACTACATACATACATACATACATGTACATACGCGTGTTTACATATACAACATTGTATATACGTATGTGTGTGTGTGTGTGTATTTGACTTCTTTTTGCACTTGACGAACGACCGAACCGAGCCACAAAAGCAACAAACTTAAAATGTGAAACGAGGAGACAAGCAAAATGAAGAACGTGCGCGATGCGTGGGCGAACGCTGCGCGTTGCCAGCCAAAGAAGCAGCAGAAGAGGCAACAACAACAACAAAAAAAAAACTATACATACACACATATAAAGAACAACAGCTGTTGCTTAACACAAAAGTGTAGAAACGAAAAGGGTAAGAAGAGAAAAGAAAAGAAAAGGCAAAGACAAGTCGTATGCGAGGGATTCGTGCGTGCGTGCGTGCGTACGTGTGCGTGTATGTGTGTGTCAAGTGTGCCTGCTGCGGTTTAATGAGTTGTTATCGATAGTTCAGCCCTGGTCGCAATTAAAGATCGATTAACGAACGCAAAAGTTGTCTGCTTCGTGCTGGATTTCAAATGCTGCAAAATAATTGCTGCTGCTGTTGCTGTTGTTGTTGTTGGCATTTGCAATTGAAATCTACCAAAAGAACATAAATGAAAGAAAGATAAAAACTAAATTTGAAATTTATTTCGCAGCACAAAACTGCGGCGCATGCAGCACGAGCAAAGAAATTGTTGTTGTTAATGTGCGCGCTTATGCAAGGCAATATAACAAACAACCGCAATATGTAACAGAAACGAAGCAGAGACGCGGCGCATGCTGTTAATGATCTAATGTTATGTTATGCACATTCATACATACATACATACATATGTATGTATATCTATTTACTCGCTGCTTCAGTCTGGCGGCAACTGTAATTTATACAGCTATTTATCAGCTGTGCATAATCGCAGCAGCTCAAGAAATGTCCAATGCACACATGCACATACATATGTGTGAGTGTGAGTGCGTGTGGGAGTGCGAGATAAAGAGACAGGCCACAAATGCCGATGGACTTTTGTCAATTAACTTAACAGCAGCAGCAGCAGCAAGAGCGCTGTCAAGGTCAGTGCAGCCAGACAGGCCAAACCTTAGCAGCAGACGGCGTCTTATGCATGCATGCGCACACACACACACACGGACGCACAAGCATGCAAGCGCATGCACGTTTTTTGATCAGCTGTTTCAAGTAGCTGCAGCCAGTGTTGCCAGCTCCGCTTTTTAACCAACTGTTTATCTCTAAACATAGTCGAAATTGTGTGTTTTGACAAGTTGGCAACACTGGCCACAGTGCACCTTAGTGTGCGGAAACAATTTTTGATTTTGTCTCAGTTATTTATTAAGCAGAAGAATTAATTTGCATTGAATATTGCGATTGATGTGATTTATAATTATTTACAGAATGCATCTGTGGGCGCGGCTGCCTACTTTTAATGCGACAATTAATTGTTATGGCTCATTAAACCAATTCGAAATCAACTTGCAACTATGCATGGCTTCAATGTGCAACGGCAACAACAATAAATAAAAATAATAAAAATAAAATTAAAAAAAAAAAAAAATGGCAATCGAAGACAACTACTTATCGAACAGCCTGTCAGCCAATCAAAAGCTCAAGTTGCGCTGTATGCGTGTATGTGTGCATGCTTCTTGACGTATGTGTGTGTGAGTGTGTATGTATGTGTGTATGCATGTGTGTGTGTGTGTGCAGATGCAATTACCTGAGCCAAGTTTAGAGTTGTCGAGCTGCGAGCGCGCGCGCGGCCAGAATTATAAAAGGAAAAACGAAAGAGACAAAAAAAAAGTGAAACGAAACGAAGAAGGGAAGAAATAAAAAGAAAAAAAAAACAGCGTGAAGCAGACACAACGCTCAATGCGCCAATACTAAAAATTGTGCACTAAACGCAAAAACCCGAGCGTACCAAATTGGCGCTGCGACGCAGTCGGCAGCGCAGTTGTAACTGTAAACTGTGCCGGCAGCAGAGGTCAACAAATAAAAATTAAAAGCCAAAACAAAAAAAATCGCAAAGCAATGTGAAAATAGAAACATAAAAAGAGGCAATAAAAAACTGTTTTCAAAACTACGCAAAAAAAAAAAAGAAGAACAAAAAAATCGAATGGCGCGATTTTGCGCTTTGATTTTTTGATTGGCAACGGCAACTGATTGACGTCGGCGACGGCAGCGACAGAGGCAGAGCTTATGCAGCGGCAGCAAATGCATTTGCATATACACATGTGTGAGTGAATGAGTGAGCGAGTGTGTGTGTGTGTCTGTGTGAACTAGTTCACAATTGCCTGTGTTTGCGCAACAGGCCAAATGCTTGGCAGGAGCGCGCATTGTGGGAGGGGGGTAGGGGGTAAGGGGTTATGGATGGCGTGTGGTTTGTGGGCAAGCGCATCGCCCACTTTCTTAACTGATTCCAAGTGCAATTGAACAAAACGCCACTTTGCATATCAGCTCTGTATATATATATATATAAATATATATATAGATTATGGGGATAGCGCAAATGCGTCATAAAAACGATCTTGACCCGCGGCGATAGGCGAAATGGAAGTGGAAAGAGGGCAGGAGAGCAGTGAAAACAAGGTGGATGCGCGCTATCAGCCAAAAGCAGCAGCAGCGGCGGCGGCGGCGGCGGCGGCAGCGGCAGCAGCTATTGGCAGCATTGGCAGCATTGGAAGGCAAAGTCCACAATTCCTTGTGGCGTGAGCTTTTTTGTGCAACTGGAAGGTCACAATCCAATTGGAATACCGATTATTGCTGTAGAGCTTTTATTTTATTTTTTTTTTTTGTTTCAAGAGATTTACCACTATTTGCCATCTCGCTTGCACGCATTGCGCGCGCGCTTATCACCGTTATCTCTGGGCGCATGCACTCGCCGAGCGCGTGGCCAGTGTGACCGCAGCACACACCTTTCACAATCAGTGTTGCTTGTTCTTTCACTTTTTGTTTTTGTTTTTATTACGGTTTATGTCGAGTCGCATTTATCGACTCGTTAATTACAAAGTATTTAAAGTATTTGATATGCGATTATTTCCGGACAGCGACTGATAAGCATTTAAGCAACGGCTCATTAACCCCACCCCAACCCCCCACCCCCACGCTTTCGTCCGATTTGCCATTATCATAAATCTAACAACAAGAAGAAGAAGAAGACAACGGAACAATTAACCAGCTGCCGCTTTTCCATGTGCTAATCGCTTTGTTCTCGCGCTTATCAAAATGAATATAGCAATAATATACATATATTTGAATACACACACATGTATATGTGTGTGTGTGTGTGTGTGTGTGTGTGCGGCAGAGTTATCGTCGACATGAATGGCCAGCCAAAAGAACCATGTCTGCCGTCTGATAAGACAAATATACAAATATAAAATACAACAAAACAATGCAATTAAAATTCAACTAAAATACATTGTGTTATATATATATATATATATATATATATTAGCAGCAGGTAGTACCCGGCTTTGCCCGGCTCCTTAAATTTGTCCAACATCTTTCTACTGCTCTTGAACTCGATTCACCCGTTTTCCGTCTAGCGGTGTGAATTATTCACAATTATTGAGAAAGTTTCATCAATAAAAAAACCGTTACTTAGCGATCTTTAGCAATACATCATTATTATTATTTTTTTTTATCATTTTGCAACACTGTAGTTTAATAAACTCAGCTATCGCTCAATTGTTTTGTAATGAATATTGAGAAACTTGCCTCATTCTATTAAATAAAATACGTTTTATTGTGGCATATATTTACATATTTTAACGCCAATCTAATCCGAATAACTAACTGTCAGGGGGAGGGGGAGGGGGGTAGATTAGACATTAGATAAGCCAAAGTCTTCAAGACGCAATTGTTAAGAGGAACTTTGAGGATTTTAAGAAAAATCGATATCAGCTAAAGCTTTTCACACATTTCAAAATTTCGAGCGGCTTTCGCATTAGCGAGAGACCACTGTGCCGCACGCATCACGCTCTTCCTCTTGAACCTGTTGTTGCATTTTGCTTCCAGCCATAAATATGCACAAATGCAACCTTGACATTGGCAATTCCAATGTCTCTCTCTACACTCTCTCTCTCTCTCGTTTGCGTACATGCGCATGCATGCATGCATACACACATGCATGCATATATATATGTAGATACATAACTGCACATTTATTTATTTATTTAAGCGTTTAATCGCATTGTCATACGTTACTTTCGGTTTCGATCATGTTGTTGCACTGTTTAAGGGCTTAAAGCTCTTGCCATAAACGTGCCAAGTGTTTTATAACAACAAACAACAACAATGTCATCGTTTGTCTCTAACTGTGTTCCCGTCTCTGTCTGCTTGTCTTTGTGTCTGTGTCTGTCTGTGTGTGTGTGTCTGTGTGTCTGGCAACATTCCTCAAGCCGAACGTCAATGCATCATCAAAAGTGCCGCAAAAGCTGAGCTTAGCTTAAGAGAGCCCCCACCCCCCTCCCCTCTCTCTCTCACTCACTCTCTTGTGCTCCTCTGCTCTCTCTCGCTGTGATCTCTTTTGTGCAGAGCGTAGAACAGCAGCAGGCGCACACGTGTGGGCTCTGCTTTGGGGGTTCAACTTTCACCAAAAAATAAGCAAATAAATAAAATTGGCGCAAGAAGCAGAGGCAATGACCGACATGCCGAATTTTAATAGAAAGCACACACACACACACGCAAAGAGAGAGAGAAGCACGCGATGTAACTGTAAAGCGCATTCCAATTAGAATTTTGCACATTGCTTACAAAACTGCAGCTAAACTTAAGCAAATCAACTGAATTAAAATTAAAAATTAAAGAAAATAAATAAAAATAAAAATAAAAATGCTCAAGGCCAAAAGCATTCGCATTTGATTTTCTGTGCAATTTTTGTTCAAACAATTCCGGTTGAACAGAAATTCGCAAATTTTAAAGAAAGTATAAAATGTGTGCATGTGTGTGTGTGTGCAAAAGGTCTCGTCTTTCTACAGAAAATCTCATCAAACTGTTAGAACTAACAAAAACAGAGCGGCAAGAACACAAAACAAGTCTGAAGGCGGAAATTCACAAAAATAGCGCAAATATTCTAATATATTCGAAAAAAAACAAAACAACAAAACTGAAAACAAAATACAAACAGATATCTGTTGCTGTCTGCTGTTTTGTTTTGATAATTACAAATTACGAATGATGATAATGAAGTCAAACATGATGATGACAAATAGCTTAAAAGGCAACAACAACAACAACAACAACCACAAGCGCTGCATTAGAATGTGGTCTGCCCATAAAATAAAAGCGCGCAGCAACAGTGTGACCAATACCACACACACACACATACATACACACATAAATCCATGTGCATAACGGCAGAGTTTGTTGCGTGTAAATAAGCAGACGACAAAAAAAAAAAACAGAAAATAATTGACTAAGTTAACGTTAATGAAACATAGGTATATAAAAAAAAGTCATTAAACTTTATGCCAAGTGCCAAAACACGCGACTGAGAGACAAAATGTGTGTCACGTCACACGAAGGGCAGACACTCGATAAAGAAGAAGACTCAAAGAGAGCGCAACGCCAGCAGAATTATTGACCACAGGCAACAACAACAACAACAAGACGAAGAAGAAGAATGAAGCCCAAGTGCAAGTTCATGAGTGTAGAGGCGCGGGTGCATGAGCATGTGTGTGTATGTGTGTGCGTGAGTTTAGTGTGTTAAATACAGGGTGCTTTATAATACATACATAGCAATGCGGACGCCAGCGTCGACTGTCTGGCAGTGCTGCCAAATCGTGAGGACATTGTTGCCGTTGTTGTTGTCGTCTCACAACACTGAGCCATTTCTGCTGCTGCTGCTGCCTGCAGCGCGCGTGCAGCGCACTTTAGTTGCTGCGCTGCTGCTGCGGCTTGAACTTCCTTTTTGTTTGTTTGTTTTTCTTTTTTTTTTTTACTACAATTGTTAACGTTTTACCACCAAATGTCTCTCACACAAACATAGACACGCAAACAAAAGAGAAAAAAAAAATTATAAAAGTATTAACAGATAAACACACACAGGAACACTCGTTCACATAAAGACACAGTTAGATCGCATCTGTGTGCGTGTGTGTGTGGGTATGTATGATTGTATGCGGTTGTGTGTGTGGTGTCCGTGCTAGAGTCTGGGCCGATCCGCGCTACGCACGAAAAGGTAAACGACGAAATTTGATCAGATGAACACCGCGCGTAATGCGTTCCGCACACGTCGCTTGTCAAAATAAGAATGAGCAAAAGCAAAAGCAAAAAGCAGCGAAAACGGCACGCGAGCGATCGCTGCCCGGCGCGAGCGACGCGTCGTCGCTATCAAGCAGCAGCAACAACAGAGCTGTGCTCTTTGCTCGGCCCCAGCCACAATACGCTGAAAAGCTAGCTAGAAAAAATAGCTATTTTTGTTAACCCTCCCTCTACAAAAGCTTAAGCACTTTAATTCGGACTCGCCGAATTCAAATATAAATATATAATACTTACATAAATATGATTTGTATAACTCTTATACATATATCTAAAACTTAAGTGCTTATACGAGAAAGCGAAAACAGCTAGATTTGACGTGAGACACAAGCTAGCGGGGCGCAGCACTGAGCCGAGCCGCTGACTGCGCTGTCAAAAACATTGTTAATGCGTGGATTATTAACGGTAGCAGGCAAACAGCGCAGCGTCGTTACCGTTATAGCTGAGATAAGAATTTCGCGCAACGTGTGTCCCATGACAAGAAAAAACAAAAAAACCAAAAACAATGCCAATTGCACTTGCAATACATACAAACACATTTATATACACACATACGACATATATATATGTACATATATTAGGCATTAAGAATATTTTGTATTTTCTAATTTAATTAGCAAATTCTACCAGAGAGGGCAAAAACAACAACAACAACAACAATTTGTTGCTGCTCATTTATTTATTTAGTTAAGATTTTTGCTTTCTTTAACGTTGTTCGTCGAAATATCAGCAATGGGAGGGGGGAACAGGAACAGCGAAACGTAAAACCAAAGAATGTTACACACATACATACACATACATACATATATATATTTCCTTCTTTTTTTTTTTGGTTGCATTTTTACAATGCTTTAACCACTGTGCGCGGCTAAAGTTTTTTTTTTACTTCTATTTTATTTGTTTGCCAAATTATTACGCAAATCGATAATGAAAAATTATTAAACACCAGACACGGAGAGGGGAAAGTAGCGGGAAAAAATGGTGCGCAACAATCTAATGAAAAATGCAAATACTGCGTGTGTGTGTGTGTGGGTGTGCTTGCGTGTGGGCGTGTGTATGCGTATGTATTTGTGCGTGCACGAGTAGCAGCAACATAGAACCAGGCTTTAGCTCTTCCTCTCTTTCGCTCTTTCAAGCATAACTGCAAGCAATATGCATTATGCACGAATTGTGTATGTGTGTGTGTATGCGTGCATACAAGAAACGACAAAAGGGCAAAATCGGCGTGTGATAGACAAAGCAGCAGCAACTGTGGCCTTGACAAATTTTTGTGCAGGCATAAAGCGAAAAACGTAGCAGATGAATGAAATATATAGCTGTAATCGCGGCTTGCTGCAGCTCGCACTCATTCGCGACGCCATCTCTCGTCTGCGCCTAGTGTGTATGTTAATGTAAATGCCTGACATGTTCTGCCCGCTGCTGGGCAGCACTTTACTAGTAACATTTTGCTGCCGCTGTTGTTGTTGCTGTTGTTTTATTATATTTTCAACAGAATCTGCGCGATGGCTTTTGACGTCATCAGCGGCGGCCAATTGAAATCGATAAGAAAATCTTTGTTTGTGCTCCTGTATGTGTGTGAGTGTGTGTGCGCGCAGTTGATTGTTAAGTCTTGTAATTGGTTTTGCGATTAACTAAATCTATTTACAACAGTTTTGTTTTATGACCCCCCCTCACAATATTATCTTGCTGCATTTAGCGTTGCAAATTGATTAGAAATTTTCCACACATTTCAAGTGCAAGGCGCGCACACACACACACGCGCGCGCAGACACGATTGCATTCATGCATGTGCATGTATTTGTGTAATTAGAAGAAAACTTGTGTTTATATTGATATTTATTACACTGTATGTACGTATTAATGCCATCCAAACGAAACGAAATGAAATAATTGTTTCAACGTAACCAGAAACTGGCAATCATCAAGTACCCCCTGGTACCGGTTTACAAATTTCTACTACATTTGGCATATATTGTTGCTTAAAACAATAAACAAAACGGGTTTACGCGCTAAAACAAAACAAATTTCAAAAAAAAAAAAAAAAAACTTCAAAAGCGCTTCGAACATGTTAAATGTTAAAATCGAGCGTTTGAACGGAAAAAGCACTAAAAGCAGCGCGCGCCCAAATGCAACACTGGCCAAAGCTCTCGCTGCAAACGGCAATGTGTATGTGTGCGTGTGGGAGTGTGTGTGTGTGTGTGTGTGTGAGTGAAGAAAGAGCGCAAGAGAGCTGAATATGTATGCACGACCACGTATGTGCAAAAAGAACATACGCGCAAAATGAAATGTCAAAAAAAAAGTTGCGTAAAATATATACACAAACACACACCCACACGCACATACATCTGCATGAATTAAAAGCCAACTTTTGTTTAATATGAATGAATTAAAACAAGTTAAAAGCGTGCAAGTAGCTAACGGATAGGTGCAAAAAGCCAAAGCGCAGCCGATAACGAAGCACGAACGCAAAACAAACGCTACGATAAATATGAATATGGAAAATGTAGCAAAAAGCAAGTGTGCAAAAACCAAAATAAAAAGCGGCGGCAATTAGCAATTGTTTCTGATTTATTTATTCCTTTTTTTTCAACTTCACTACAAAGAAGCATGCATTGCCAATGAGCTAGTATGAGTGTGTGTGTGTGCGTGTGTGTGTGTGTGTTTCACAGAAAACATAGCAAAATAAACGAATGCATCTCTTACCTATTCTTTCCTTCTTTCGTACACAGCGTTGCGAAAAAGCTTGTTGCTGCTGGTTGCTGCCGAGTGTCAAAAACTTTATGTGGCGCGCTCTCTCGCTCTCGCTGCTCTCACGTACACACACACACACAGGCGCAGCAGCCACGCAGTTGCCGAGAGACAAAAATTGCCTGGCTCTGCCTTTAACTTTTTTTTTTTTTATGCAAACACTTTTGTTGTTGCGCACTTAACAAAAATATTTAATTACTTGCTTACTGTTGTTTTTTCAATAATTTGTTGATTATTTGATATTATTTGATATGAAGACGTTTTTCTTTTTCATTTATTATTATTATTGCGCGCTCTCTTTGCCTGCTGCTGCTCTGCTCTGCTGCTGCTTTGGCCAACACTTTTTGGTGAATGTCTGCGATGAGAAGATATCGACTGAACACAACTCGACGACAACGAAGAAGAAGAACAAGCAGAAGTAACAGCAGCAGCAGCAGCAAGAAGTGCCGCTGCTTTTTTTTTTTTTCAGAGACTAAAAAAACAACAACAATCGGCACAAGCGTGAACGCAACCCTAGAAGCGTTTAAAATTATGTATATAGCAACACATATACGTATATGTGCTTATATGTGCATTTGAAAATTGTTAGAATTTCTCTAAATTCAGTATTTAGCTGTTACGTTTGAATGGGGCACATTGTTGACACTGCTTTGCCAAACCAAATGCACCTAATTATATGACGGTTATTGTGCTGTAAAAAAAAGGCGAAACTTAACAGCGCGCGCCGCTGTCACCAACACATAGGCGCAGGCACTGGCGACGACGACAATACACACACACACACATGTGTGTGTGCATGCCCATGTTACGTTTCGTACATATACATGTAGATACATATGTACAGATATATATTTATATATACAATTTGATTCCTTTGAAAAACGTTGAAGTGTGCCCTAACTTAAATTCGAACTTGCTTAAAATCTACTCGCTGCAACACTCTCTCTCCTTCTCTCTATCTCTCTCTTTCTTTATTTGATGAGCATATTTTTGTATTAAGCACTTACCGCTATGCAAGTGCAGGCCGAATCCGCAAGAGTGTCAACATGACAAGAGTGTGTGAGCTGCGACTGTGTATGTAGAGTTTGGTTGTTGCTGTTGTTGCTGTTGTTGTTGTTGTTGTGGTTGATGTCGGTATTGCCTTTCTGCTCGCTCGCTCGCACAGACGCACACAAACACACGGGAGCGCTTCAGCGGCTAGAATTCTCAACAAAAAAAACGCAACGCGGAGCGCACACTTACACGCATACACACATATACAACAAACAACATATACATATGTGTGATATTACCGATTTCATATACGAAGACGTACGAAAAAAAAATGTAGCAAGTACTTTTTTTTTTTACTTTTCAACGAGCGCGCGACTTGCTCTGCATTAAGAATTGCAATGCGAGGCACAAACACGAATTGGTAACTCGTCTCGTCAGATGAACGAGCCCAAGGACTACGAATTCATCTGAAAATTAATTTTTTTTTTTAAACTGTACTTGCGTGTTGGACAATTCTATGTTTTATTCGATATTGTATTTGTATTTAAAGTTCAACCGAATGCTGCGCTATGTGCAGCACACTGCGACACACACACACACGCATACACAAGAAAGTAAAAAGTTTTTTTTTTCTTTTTTTCTTATTTGACGCAATTGGCGGATACTTTCAATTTGATCGTTGTTGAACCCGTGCCGTTCATGGGGCTCTCGCTGAAGAACCCTCGACGGCAAATCAAAGAGGTTTTGCAATTCGACGATCAAATTACAATTACGACAAAAAATAGTAATAGAGCAAAAAAAAAATCCCGCAGCGTATTAGAGACATCGAGGTAGGGATGACTAAAAATATCGATAGATTAGACATGCATTTGAACGATATATATTTAACGGCCATCGATATGTTACCCACTGGTCGTGCCGGCCAGCTTAGAGTTGCGTGCTGCAACGATAACGTATCGCGATATTTCGGCCGCCGTTTCGATATTAAAACATCGCAAGCTCGGCCACACTCAGCACGGCACGTCACAGTTTAATTTGTTATTTATTTATTTATTTTTCTTTGCCAACAGTCAAGCGACACAACAAGATGGTAATAATTCAATTAATGCAATTAGCACCAAAAAGTAGTTGACAAACCATTATTGAATTTCAGAGTGCATTATTCAATTTCCAAAGCTTATTGTCAGTCATTCTGCTGCTGATATGCACCTGCGCCTATTTGCGCTCGCTCTTTCCCAGCATCATTGATCGCAACAAGACGGGGTAAGCGGGTCATTCTACATATATATTGATTACAATTTTAAATATTCTTAATGCACTGCAGAGTACTGGGCACATTCTGGAAGCTGGCGCGCATTGGGGAACGCAAATCGCCGTGGGTTGGTGCCGCCTGCCTGATAATGGCTTTTACTGTGCTCTTTTGGAGCTAAAATAAATGGTGGATGCATGGATTGAATGGCATCAAGTAGTTTTAAGAGCAGTTGGTGTAACTTTTTTTTCTTACGTTTTCTAAGCTTTTACACAACTCAAACCATTTTGCAAGCTGCATTTGTTTTTGGCATTTCTTTTCTTTACGGCATTTTTCGTTTACGTCGCCGTTTGGTATTTTCAAGTGTGACCCTGCTACGCTAAACAAAACGCACTCAATTCCAGCCGGCCGGTCACACAGGACGAATGCATTTGATATGTGCTGCGAGAAGGCCGCTGCCCAGGACGAACTGCGTCAATATGTGGCCAGCAGCAGGGCGCAGCTCCAGCAGCTGCTGCAGCGTCTGCACTGGACAGAGCAGGGCGTGCTACAGGCAAGTCTCAATTCATAAACTCTGCCCCCCAATTGTCGCTTAACATCTTCACAAGCAGCAGCATCGCCCGATACCCACAACAGACAGCCTGCCTGTGGAGGCTGAGCTGCCGCCCAGCTGCTCAGCGCCAGCAGAGCACAGCGTACAGCTGACCACGGCACAGCTGCAGCAATTGTTGCCGCAGGCGACGCGGCTCAAGGCCAACACCTTTGACGATCTGCAGGCCAACTTTAGCGCAGCCCAGAAGCTGCTCATCTATGAACATGTGCTCAGCCGCACGCCACGCCAGCGTGCCAGCGTCGAGCAGAACGCCAACTTTGCCCAGCTGGTGGCCGAGACCAGGCGAGCGCATCGCAAACAGCGACGGCATCGCAAGAGCAAGCCCACGCTGCACGAGGAGATGCATCAGCTGGTCGAGCTGCAGATGCAGGCGCTCCAGCAACAGTTGCTGCCAGCGATTGCCGGCGAGGCAAGGCACAGCCGCTTTGAGCTAAAGCACAGGCGACGCAGTCGCAGTCGTGAGCGCAGAGGATGCTCTTCGGGCAGCAGACGCTCCGAGCGACCGAAGCAGCGCAGTCGCAGTCGCAGCAGGCATCGGCACAAGGGCAAACGGAAGCATGCCAAGCGCTCCCGCAGCCGCTCCCCGCGCAGCCACAGGCGCACACAATACAATTAAGTTTGGGCTTTAGTTTTAATGTAAGCGAAAAAAAAGGCAATTAAATTATATAGAAGACGCAATTTTCTGCTGCCATTTGGAGGCGACGGCGACGCCTGCCATTCACTTGGTGGAGACGCGCGTGCGCTTGTTCCAGGAGAAGTTGATGCCGTAGTTCTTGACGCGCTCCTTCTTGGGCTTCAGCTCGCCGTCCACGTACCAGCTCCAGCCGTTGCGCTCGCAATAGGTGATGGCCTCCTCCTTGGTGCCAAACTGCACATTCAAATTGGACAATGGATCGCCGCTGCGGAAGAGAGACACAAGTGGGGGATTAGCTACACATTTTGGGGCGGGGCGACAGCTTTCGGTGCTTACGTGGAGGCCCAGCCCATGAGCGGGTTCTCCCAGCGTTCGCGATTGTCGAACTCAATTAGCCAGGTGTTCACGTTGTCTGTGCCGCTCTGCATGGCATTCTTGGGCGGTATATGGATGCGGACGCGGCGCTCCTTCAGCTGCTCGGCGGGCACGCCCGATATGGGTCCGAGATTGACGTCAACGGGCACCGTTATCTTGCCGCTCAGCTTGTTGCGCTGCTCCAACTCCTCGGGGCGTGCCAGCGCCGTGTTCGGATCAATGGGCGCCACATCCTGTGCGGATGCCCAGCGACGAGCGGTGCTGCAAATGGAGGAAGCACAAATTGATGGACGGCTGACGTGATGGCATGTGGGCATGGTCAAGGCACTTACAGCTGCATTGTGGGCGCTGTGCGGCACAACACCTGACGGATTAGCGACATTTTCGCTTGTTTCTGTTTAAAACAATCACAATAGAAATTACGTAAAAATTTTCGAACAGAAGCGTTCACAAAAAAATGAGTATTTTTTTGTTGTTGACAGCTGTTCACGTGCTACGCTGACACCTAGCTGAGTGCTATGAGACTTGATGTGAGATAAGCATAGATATATCGATATAAAAAACATCGATAAGGCATGTTTTTCATCGAGTGTCTTTCATGTTACTTTTAGCTGACTGCTGCATGCAAGCGCTTCATTTGCGGTCTAGAATTTAGAGCTCCGGACGTGCAGAGCAGCTGGTAATAATCCATAATCTGTTATAAATTTGTATAAGCCGCCCAATATCAATGCATAGATATATACAAATATCTGGCTGCTTGATATATATGTCACTATCACTCGCACATCACTAGCACTGAACGACAAACAGCTGTTTGGCGTAATAATTTTTAACATAACATTAGGTATTTTTCGTGGAAACAGTATTTAGTTGGTATTTAGTTAGTAATTGAATTATGGGAATTTAGGCGCATACAGACTGCAGTCACGCTGCATACAAACAAGTCGAAATTTTCTGTGCGAAAGAGCAGCAGCCGCAGCAGCAACAGAAGCAGCAGCCGCAGCAGCAGCAGCAGCAGCCAGAACCAAGCAGCAGACAATTGTTGTCATTGTTGTTGCGAAACAGACGTGGCAAGGATATAAATAACCGCTTCAAGCCAACAAAAACCAACCCCAAAGGACGCAGCACCATGGGTGTACCAAAGTTTTTTCGTTATATCAGCGAACGGTATCCGTGTCTCAGCGAATTGGCGCGTGAGCATAGCGTAAGTATGGGGGAGGGAAATGGGGGGGGGGGGGTCTAGTTCCTTCAAAATTAGAGAGAAATATTTGATTGTTGGCAGATACCGGAATTCGACAATCTGTACCTGGACATGAATGGCATTGTGCACAACTGTTCGCATCCGGATGACAACAATATACACTTTCACCTGGAGGAGCCGCAAATATTCCAGGACATTTACAACTATATCGATAAACTTTTCTATCTGATCAAGCCACAGAAACTGTTCTTTCTGGCCGTTGACGGTGTCGCGCCACGTGCCAAAATGAATCAACAGCGCAGCCGGCGCTTCCGTTCCGCCCGCGAGGCCGAGATGCTCGAGGCGAAGGCGCTGCAGCGCGGCGAACGGCGGGAACACGAACGCTTCGATAGCAATTGCATAACGCCCGGCACCGAGTTTATGGCCCGGCTGCAGCTGGGCCTGCGCTGCTTTCTGCGCACCAAAATCTCAACGGATCCGTTGTGGCAAAAGTGCCGCATCATACTCAGCGGCCAGGAGACGCCCGGCGAGGGCGAGCACAAGATCATGGACTATATACGCTATATGAAGGCGCAGCCCAATTTTGATCCCAATACGCGTCACTGCCTCTACGGCCTGGACGCGGATCTGATCATCCTGGGCCTGTGCACGCACGAGCTGCATTTTGTGGTGTTGCGCGAGGAGGTGAAATTTGGACGCAATGTGAAACGCACCTCCGTCGAGGAGACGCGCTTCTTTTTGCTGCATCTGGGCTTGTTGCGCGAATATCTGGAGCTGGAGTTCCATCAGCTGTCGACGCCCGAACAAAAACTGGACGTGGCCCAGCTAATCGACGACTGGGTACTGATGGGCTTTATGGTGGGCAACGATTTTATACCGCATCTGCCCTGCCTGCATATCTCGTCGAATGCCCTGCCGTTGCTCTACAAGACTTATATACGGATCTATCGCCAGCTGGGCGGCAATATCAATGAGCACGGCAAACTGAATCTGGAACGTTTGGAGCAGTTCATGCATGCCCTCAGCGAGGTGGAGCTGCAGCTGTTCGAGGAGCACAGCGACGATCTCAAGTACATGAACGCCAAAACGGAGGCGTTCGATGTGGATGTTGCCGAGCTCAAGAACGGCAGCTTCGATGGCTATAGCGACGATCTGGCCGCACTCATTGACAATAGCATGAAGGTAATTCTTTCTATTCTAAGTAATATTCCTTTGCTTAAATCTTAAACTAAGCGCATCACCTCAAACCAGCTGCTCATTTACCGCAAGCAAAAAAAACAACAAAAAGAAAAAGGGAGAGCGAGAGCGAGAGAGCGAGCTTTGCAAGCTCTTTTATTGAATTTCATTTGCGTCGAGCTTTCATTTACTGCAAGTTCGCATGCGTGTCCATGTATGCGTGTGCATGCATGCGTGCGTGTGTGTTTCTCTCGTAATCAGATCTTTCGCAATTTTTAGCATTTCAGTCGCACATCTAGCCAATGCGTGCGATAGAGCACGCACTACATTTGTTGCTTTTGCTTCCACTTTTAATATGCGCCTCACATGCATGCATACATACATGCATACATATGTATGTACATGCATACATAAAATATAACTGTTTGGCAGCACAAATGATGCGCTTAACTGGATCTTAAATTGTCGCAGAGTAAACCCCATTATATATATGTATATATGTATTCCTGAACAGTATCAACAAAACAGCTGATAACTGTCTTCTTCGTTTCTTCTTCTTGCTCCAGGCAGTAAATATGTATGCATGCTAAAGTCGAGCCGATCGGGCAACTATATATCATATATGTACATACATATATATCATATCAGACTACAATATCTTATGAAAGTTTTCAAACGAAAATTAAATTCTTTAATTAAAAACTTAATTTTTTTCACGATATTCTAATCAAATTTAAGCAATAGGCAAGTTCTTATATGATTGACTGACTGACGGACTGATTGACTGATTGACTGACTGACTGATTGATGATCAATGCACAGCGCAAACCTTCATAGCTAGGTAGCTGAAATTTGCACTCTTGTTACCTTGTGTAATGAATTCCACCCGCATGTGTGGAAAAAACGTGAAAAACATTTGTATGAAACTTCTTTGTTTAACATTCGATCGGGCTCAAACTCATTTTCAAAGAATTTTGTTCGAGCGTTGAATATCCATGCCTCCTTGGTGGAAATGGGGGTCAAAGTTTCCATGGATCTAAATCGATTTGGGCAATTTCACCCGCAACAGTGGTAAATGGGCGGAAAACGGTTGCATGAAAGTTACTTTGCTTCTCACAGAACAATTACTTGAAATCTATCTTTCCCAATATAAGAGACTTATTTGGGTTTATGTATATTTCTTTATTTAACTCTTAACTTCTTCATTTCTTTGTCACTTCTCCCGCAGCTTTATGAGGGCGACAGCGATGAGGATTTTGGGGACGAGCAAACGTCATTGCGTTCCGAATTCCAGAACTACAAGCGTAACTATTATCGGAACAAGTTCAAGAACGAGATGCACAGCGATCTGATTGGCGAGCTGGGCTATCATTATGTGACCGCGATGCAGTGGGTGCTCGACTATTATTATCGCGGCGTTCAGTCCTGGGATTGGTATTATCCCTATCACTATGCGCCCTTCATCAGCGATCTGACCAACATCAAGGACATTCGCATCAATTTTAAGCTGGGCAAACCATTTTTGCCCTTCCAGCAGGTAAATATAATCTATCGAAATCCGTCCAGAAGATTCATTCATATCCGAATAACTACCACGTTTTATGGCTTATTCGTGGCGAGCGAAATCAGGCTTAGACTCTCCATTCCATCTGACTTGCGATTTCGATATTAATCGATTTTTCGGGTAATGCTGCAATTGAATCGCACGTTAGTCTGTCTCACATAGTTACCCAATCTAGGAAAACCATTTTGAACTATCGATATTCGATATTTATCGATTTTTAGGCAAGGGTGGGGTAATGATAATCAATATTTATCGATTTCACGTCAAGGGAAATGTATGCATATCAATTTTGATCGATTTCAAGGCAAGGGAAGTGTATAAAAATCGATATTTATCGATTTTCAGAGGAAGTGTTTGAAAATCAAACTATATTGATTTACAGATAATGTTTTGAAAATCGATATTTATCGATCTAAAAGAAATTGCGCGCAATCTTTAAAAGAAAATCAACTTAAGACGCGTTTATAAATTTGATAGAATGCCCAAATATATGAAAAAGAAATCGATACTAATCGATTTTGAAGCGAATCAGAAGCAGCTGTTATCGATAGATCGATACTTATCGGTTTTTTGGTATCAGTCAGGATGTGCAAAATATACACTTGAAATGTTGCCTCCCGACAGATGCCTCTCCATTTGTTTAGCCAGGCGGATTACGTAATATATATATATATATAAATTCTGATTGTTGAACCGATTTACAGCTGCTTGCGGTGCTGCCAGCGGCAAGCGTGAGCCTATTGCCGGCGGCATATCACGATCTGATGCTCAACCCGAACAGTCCGCTGGCCGAGTTCTATCCGACGGAATTCGAGAGCGATCTGAATGGCAAAAAGCACGACTGGGAGGCAGTTGTGCTGATACCCTTCATCGAGGAGGATCGCCTGCTGAGGGCCATGTCTGCGTGTGAGCCGCTGCTCAACAGCGAGGAGCGCGATAGGAATCGCCACGGGCCGATGTTCCAATACGATTACAGTGCCCAGTCGCAGGGACCGATGAAGGCGCTGGCGCCGCTCAAATCGCTGCAGCACGTCTTCTGCACGGAGTTGGCGCGCTGGGCGCACGAGATTGCGATCAATACGCCGCGCACTGTGTGCGTGGAGCTGCCGAATGCAGCGCGTCACGTCTTCTTTCCCGGCTTTCCGACCATGAAGCACTTGGAGTTTAATGTGAGTAAAGCGTAATCTTATAGAGAAGATTTTGGCTAGCTAACATTTGCATCTTTCTCGCTTTCAGTTTGATCTGCGCTACGATCGGGTCAAGGTGTTCGAGCAGGCGAGCCGCAATCAGAGCATGGTGTTGCTGCCGAAGCGGCGACAACAGCAGGACACGCTCACTTCGGTGGCTTCGCAGTATCTCGGGCAGGTGGTGCACATCGGCTGGCCGCATCTGATCAAGGCCAAGGTGGAGAGCGTGGCGACACGCGATCAAATCGTCGACAAGGACGGCGTGCGTGCGAACGAATCGCGATATTTCGAATCCGACTGCAAAGCGCTCGAGGAACAGTTGAGTATCGAGCCATCGATTTATAAATGAGCCTTGCATCGAACGAAGCGAACGACTTTTCGGTTATTTCAACAATTCAGTCGAACCACTCGAAAGACAAATCGCTTTAATCAAACAAATAAGGTCCGTTTAGCTCGAACTTATGCAAGTCGAGCTTGAACATGTTCTTGATTTCGTACAATACGAGCTCGAACATGTTCTTGATTACGTTCTGGTCGAACTCGAACGTGTTCTAGATTTCGCCCAGGTCAAGCTCGAACATGTTCCTAATTTCGTACAAGTCGAGCTCGAACGTGTTCTTCATTTCGTGCAAGTGTAGCTCGAACATGTTGCTGACTCGTACAGGTTGAGCTCGAACATGTTGCTGACTCGAACAGCTCGAACTTCGTTTGTACGAACACCTTCGAGTTTGATCCAACGTTCATTTGATTCGTGCTTTGTTCGAAGCTTCAAATCTGTCGTTAATTTGGTTTAATTGATTGAGTATCCTCTATTATTGCAAATGAGTTAAGCGATCCGATGCAGGGCTCTTAAACACATAATTTCCATATCTAATGTTTGTTTTTATTTGCGCAGCTTTACCAGCCGCATGGGCATCAAGTTTGCCAACTACTATGTGCTCGTCTATATACGCACCTATGCCGGCAGCTCTGTGGAATTTGGACAGCGTGGCAGCATATTTATGCAGGATTCGTGGAACAGCTCGGTCACCCCATATCCGGCACAGGGCGTTGTCTCCGACATCACAGTGCGCGACAATTTGCATGTGCAGTTCCGGAAAATCGAACAGCTATTTCCCGTCGGCAGCACCGTTTTCTTTATCGGCGAACCCTACGCGGGCAGCGAGGGCACCGTACTGGATCCCATGCTTGTCTACAGCTGTGGCCGTGTACAGGGTATGTGCTCCGGACTTGGACTGCAGAAAATAGCCGCCCCTATTCCGAATTCCCATCATGTCTATGCCCTCTGCATTTATTGAGCATGTCTAAAGAGGCAGCAGGACGAAGCTCCAGGCGTCTGCCTGACTCCGTCCGTCCGTTCGTCTCTCTAGACCCTAGACCCGGCTACTTCTGCTCTGGCATTTCTCGTAAGCTGAGCCTGATCTAACTATATCTTGTTCTTTCCTTTGCAGTTAATTTGCGCGTCGGGCCGGAGCCGCAGCTGTTGGCCGCACGCCAGCTGCAGGAGCAGCGGGATCGGGACTACATGAACTCGTATAAGGTGTGCCGCGAATTGGATATAACCAGCAAGTGTCTGGGCCGGCTGACGGGCACCGTTTGGGTAGTACTGGGACCGCGACGTGAACGCATGGAGAACGTGTCCAAGCACAATATTGGACTGCAGCTGAAGTATCCGCGCCTGAACGAGGAACGGGCCGGCTACTGTCGCCGCCTGAACAATCAATGGTTCTACTCGAGCCTGGCCATTGACCTAATGAACAGCTATTGTGATCGCTATCCGGCGATTGTGGACTACTTCAGCAGCAGCAGCGATCGCGGCGAGTTTATCTACGAGGAGGACATCTTTCCGGACGCCATCGGTCAGCATCATATCGAGGATGTTGCCAATTGGGTGCGCCAGCAGCCGCACATGAAAGTGGATCGCATTACGTGCGGTTCGCGTACTGTCTGCAAGGAGACCGTTGAGCTGCTCCTGGCCGCTGCCGATGAGCTGCGTCTGCTGCCGGTCAAGAACGTCAAGCTGCAGGTGAAGCCACATTTGTTGATCAAACCGAACGTAACGCTGCCCGATGTCTACAGGACGCCCGGTGCAGTGCGTCTCTTCGATCGTGTCGTTGTCGTACGCACCATTTACATGGTGCCCGTGGGCATAACCGGCACGGTAATTGGCATACATCCCGTTAGCGATCCGAATCCGGTGCGCCTCGAGTGTCTCAACTCCGTGGAGACCTTCTGTGAGCTGCTCTTCGACAGGTGTGTGGCCAACTGCGGCGACATCCATGGCATTGCCGACGAGCGTGTCTACAAGGTGCCCGAGAGCGCGCTGGTCATCATTAATGCGAGCGGTGAGTGCGAGTCCTGCTCACAATTTAATCCTTAATCCTCTGCAACTCTCTCTCTCTCTCTGTCTCTACTCTTTGTAGACGCCAACGAGAAGCAGCAGCCGCCGCCGGCGCAAGCGGTGCCCGCTGCTCAGCAGCCGCCGTCGTATCAGCTGAAGGCGCGCACGGATGCAATGCGTCGGGATTGGCGCGAACAGCAGCAGCCCGGCGGTCGTTTTATCACTGCCGCCAGCAGCAAATATAATGCGATCACCATGAATACGCACATTGCCGATGAGTTCTATTTGCCCGGCGCCAGCGATGCGTCGCCAGGCTCTGCTGCCGGCACACAGCCGTCCACATCTGGCGCGGCGGCACGCTCGTCGATGGCCGTCGCCAAGAAGGAGTCGCCGGTGGTGCAAAACTGGCGCACAATGTCCACGCAGGCGCCGCTGTCGTCGTCAACGTCGTCGTCGGCGGCGGCGGCGGCAGGTGCACGTTCAACGCCGCCGGGCCAGGCGCCAGTCAAGCAGCTGGAACATGTCCAGCGTAACCAGGCCGCCGCGCCAGCGACGCCGCATGATCAAACGCAGGCGCTCAAGCTACTGCTGGGCCTGAAGCCGCCGCCGTCGTCGTCGTCGTCGTTGCAGCCGTCGACGTCACAGCAAATGTCAGCAGCATTCCCAACGAATCTGCCGTCGCAGTCGCATTTTCAGCTACAATCACAATCGCAGTCGTTGGCCAACGTTCCGTCCACGTCGCAGCAGCTGCCCCAAGCGCCGCTGCCCAGTCAAATGCCTGTAAGCGCTTGCCAACAAATTCTTCTAAATGTACACATAAAACTACGCGCAGCTACATTCCAAATTTACAAGTCTCTAGCTCTTATAGATTGCGAGACTTGGCTGTTGATGCCGTTCGAGAATATATGGAGACTATGGAGTCGGAGATGCTTACTTCTGCATGTTACATACATTATCATAAATACATTATGCCCCTTTTATTCATTTTTAATGGGCATAATTAGGAACTGTCTCTCTCTCTCTCTCTCTGTATATATCTCAGTCTGTCGTGTCTCCAAGTCTCAAAGTTATCCGAATGAGTGTTGCGTCTTTGTATTGAAATACGCCGGATCGAAGCATCATATTATATAGTTGCCATAGCAATAGTTCGTTTGAGTATTATGTTCTTTGTATGAGTGGCATGGACATATCGGAAAAGTTCGTTTCGTTTAAACTAATGCTCGTTATTTTTGTATTTTGCAGAAATTGCCGCAGCCGCCGCTCTTCTGGCAGCGCGAGGCACAGCAGCAGCAGGCGAAGCTGCAATCGGAGCTGCTGATCTCCAAGCAGCAATGGGATCAGAGACCGCTGCTGAGCAGCAGCAGGCAGCCGAATGTCGACGAGTTTCCAGAAGCGCCAGCAGCAGCACAGCAGGCATCATCAGCTGAGAGCCTTATGAGACAGTTGCTGCAACGTCCACAGGCACAGCACCAGATGCAGCAACAGCAACAACAGCAGCAACAACAGCAACAACAACAACAACAACTTGCCTCAGCGACAACTGTGCGCCCGATTAGGCTAACGCCTCAGCTGCTACAGGCTGCCACGTTTATGCCGTCGAGTCTCAGCGGCGGCTACAACAATAGCTATCAGCTCTACAACAGCAGCTCGAGCAACTATTATCCCATCAATAATAACAACAATTACAACAACAACAGCAACAGCAACAACAACAACAACAACAACAACAACAATAGCAGCAGCAGCAACAATCGGCCGTCCGATGGCAACTACTACGGCAATACCAATCCGCGTCGCTCGTACACATCGATCCAGGACTTTGTGCCCATCCAGGCCTATCGTCCCAAGAAGTCGCAGCGTAACGCCCAGCAAATGGTAAAATTTATGAGCAGCCATTTAGTTAGATATTTAGTCGTATTTAGTCTGATTGATTGACCTACTGACTGATTGACCTACTGACTGATTGACCTACTGACTGATTGACCTACTGACTGATTGACTGCTCAACCTAGTCGACACACTGACTAACCTATTTACTAACTGATTGACTGTCTGATTCTCATGATTGACTGTGTAAATGGTTAACTAGTTGGCTGACTCATTGACTAGCTGACTGACTGATTGACTGCTCAACTCAATTGACAGAGTGACTAGCCTGATTGACTATCTGATTCCCTGACAGACTGATTGGCGAACTGATGGGCAGACTGGCTGATTGACTAGCTAACCGTCGGACTGACTGGTGTGCGTCAATCAATCAACACACTCATTAAGTAACCGACTGATTGTTTGACTGAACGATTGAATGTCTAAATGATTGACTAGTTGGCTGACTGATTGACTGGCTGACCGACTGACTGACTGGTATGCGTCAATCAATCAACACTCACATTAAGTTACTGACTGATCGATTGACGAAATAACTGACTAATTGATTGACTAGCGAACTGACTAAATGATTGACAAGTTGGCTGACGGATTGACCGGCTGCTAGCCAGTCAATCAATTAACACACTCATTAACGGATTGACTAATTGGCTGACTGATAAACTGACTGATTGATTGACTAAATAACTGACTAAATAATTGAGTAGCTGACTAACTGATTGACAGGTATACGTCAAGCCATTATTAATTTGGAAAACTTATTGATTGACTAAATGATTGACTAGCTAACTGACTGATGATTGACTAGCCAACTGGCTTGCGTCAATCAATCAACACACTCATGAGCTCATTTATTAACTGATTGACCGATGTCACACTGACTGTCTGCATGATTGACTAGCTGACTGACTGGCTGATTGACTAACTGACTGATTGACAAACATTGAATCTTGATTTTATTGGGGGAATGCTTAAATGTGTGAACTAATTTCTGTTCTCTTTACCAGGAAAAACTGGAAACGGGCAACAGCAGCGCTGCCAACGAAGTCCAACCCCAGGAGGCGAGCGGCTCAGCGACGGCACAAAATGCAGGAGATGAGGCTAGCTCTGAGCTAATGAGAACGCTTAAGATAACGGTAAATAACTCTTCCATATTGTGCTGATTGATTGACTGACTGACTGATTGACTGACTGATTGGTGATCAAAGTACAGGCCCGAAACCTTCGAACTGGGCAGCTTAAGCTCTGTACAGTAGCTACCTTTTATGATGTACGTGAGCATAACACGTAATCCACCCACAAGAGTGGAAGATTGGTGAAAAAAGGCTGTGTGCAGCTTTATTGTGCTAGACTCCGAGTTTTATCAATTTGATTCACATTCAGCTTGAAAAGAGTGTGGAAAACCTATATTTTATTGTTCAACCGATCGATTTGAAACCGTTTGTGGAAAATGCATTCTAAGTGGGAAATGGGTGAAAAAAGTGTAAGTGAATTTGAAGAAAATGCGCTCTCTGTTTTTCTCTCGTTCGACTGAAAATATCTATGTAAAAAGCTATGTGTGGAAAAGGTGAAGTTTTTTTTAAACATAATTCTCACACTCTCTTTGTCTCTCTCTCTCGCTTTTAGCCCCCAGATTCAGAGGCCAGCACAAGCGTTGCCGCTGTCAAAACTGAGGAAGCGGCTGTTATCAAGGTAAGCCCAATGAATCCAATTCCTTTGATCAGCCCAGCCTAATTGACAATTCTTCTCTCGCTCTCGCACAGCCAAAGGTGACCAGGAAGCCGCGAGTGCCGCGCATCGGCGCCAAATTCGACTTGGAGTACATCATGCCCTAAATGGAACTAGAAAGACTAAATGAAGAATCTACGATCGAACATTTTTATTTCGTTTTGTTGTTTGTTTTTTTTTTTTTTGTTTGTTTTTCTTTTACGATTCTATTCATTCCATTCGCACATTTATTCGCCTATTCATATTTGCGCCCGCGTTTTGAGGGAAACTCTGAAATTGCTTTTAGACAATTATTTTTATTATTATTCTCTACCGATATTACTTTATCATTTTGTATCTGTTCCGCATATGGAGGGCGGCATCTACTACCGATTTCTAGACTGTTCTAGGCGTAGATATAAATAGACATAAGTACTATATAGAGCGCTAACTGTATACTAATATATATATATATGCATATGTATATAAATGTTTATATATATATATGTGTATACATATATGCTAGGCTTATTTATATACTACTTGTGTATATAACTTTTTAATTCTTTAGACTCTTAAGCATAAACCACACACACACACACACACATTAAGAATACAATTGAACATGAAATGTGAAACAAGCAAAAAAATTTAACAAAACTTAATCATGAAAAACAAGTTTGTTATGAATGCAATAAAAATGTAAGAAGAAAATCCCCCAAAAATAGACGAAGCTAGAGAGAGAGAGAGACAGTTAGATATCGTGATGTTTCTTCAAGAAAAACAAAAGTTGCCGAGTTTTAATAATATTTTCTTAAAAGACAAGTATATGATAAATATATGTTAATAATAAAGGCAAACTCTCTCATGAAACGAAAAGAGATCGAGCGATAAATACATAAGGAGAGAGAGATAAGAAGAAATCTTAAAGAAAAGCACGAAGAACGAAAAGAAATCCATCAAAGTATCAAGAAGCAGGAAAAGTGAAAATATCTCTGGAAATAAAATTTGCATTTATGAATTCAATTTTATTGCCTATTTCATACGCCAAATTTGTTGTCTGTCATGTTCATGTCTAGAGTATACACAAATTGAGAATGTTTCACATTTGTAAACCTTTTCCCCATTTCCACCGAAACGAAACGAACTCATTTTTAAGAGCAAAGCAGATCGGACTCTAAGCACCGAAGTTATTCCAGACAGTTGTTAGCTTTGGGTATAAAATACAATTTATTCATTTTGTTATGCATATTACATAAATTTGCAATTATATATTGGATCGTAGATAGTACCATATATATATATCAAAAAGTGCGTCAGGAAGACAAAGCGAGGGCGCGAATGTTAAACGTCTAAATATTAATTAATTAATTATTAATTAAATAATTCCTAGTCACAATAACTATTGCTTTGTGTTGCGCAGTTGTGTTCTATTTGATTGCATTTCAAATATGGCTTATAATAATTGTTAAATCGCCAAAAAAAATTATGTTCAATTCTCCGCAAATGAGCAACAAATACGGAAGCGAAGCGTGCCACATTTGTGGGCTTGCACTGTAATTTGCATAAGTGCAGTGCGGGTTTATGTCTAAGCTGAGGCGTACACTGATGGCCTATTCTATTGGGCATGCTTATTGCTTATATTTAACAACCAAATTGTAGCTTAAATTGCTTTTGTTGGAAGCTCCTTGTGCTTGACACAGGTACGTCGATGACGCAGTATATCGATCTGGGAGAGCCTCAGATGGCGGCCACAGGACTCGCAGTGATAGTCGCAGCCATTGCTTCTGCTGCTGCTGCTGCTTGCTGGAACTATTGCCTTCGGATCGGGTGACGTTTGGCGTCGTTGTCGTCGCTTGCCATCGGACTGTGCCTTGCACTGCAGGCGATGCAACAGCTGATCGGGCACATCGAACTGCTCCAGCTGGAAATCACAGTGGGCACAGCGCCAGAGCTGCGTCTGCAGCGCCGTCTCCATGGCCAGCGTCCAGGGCAGCTCCGCCAGACAGCCATAGACGACATGCTCGGATATGTTGAGGCCGCCCTTCTCGCTGTTCACGCTTAACGGATAGTCCTGGACAAAGGGATTCGCTGGCAGCAGCATCATACGCGCCGGCGGCGGGCAGCGGGTATAAAGTGTCTTCTGATCGGCAGGCAGCAATCGCTTAATGCCATAGACCACATCCAGACCCATGAAGTCGAGAAGATCCGACCAGAGCGTGTCGTCGTGATCATGGCCAGCGGCTTTTGGCGGGGCACACGACGTTGCCTTCTCGTTGCTGTTGAGCTCTGCGGGATGAGTTAAAAGGATGTTGAGCAACACTTGAGAGACTGAGAGGACGAGGGCATACGCACCATTTAGCTTGTCATAGAGCCGGCTGCTCCAGCGTCGTCTCAGCTCGATGGCGCGACTGAGCAGCAGCAGTCCGCTGCCCGGCTGAGGAAAGTCCAGGGCCAGCCAGCCGTCGCAAACGATGCGCGAGATGCCCCAATTGGTATCGATGGCATAGCCAAAGAGCAGCAGCGTCTGCGCCGCCGGCAGCCGTATGCAGTTCATTAAATATGGCTTGGCCGTCTCCAGCAGGGACCTGCAAGGATCAACAACTTGGCCATAAGCTGGTGTATTCAACATGCAGCCCTGCATCGGCGAATTCATCAGCATCAAACTCGGATACTCATTCGAGCTAACCGACAACCGACAGACTCGAGCTAAGTCGTGTTCGAGTCGGCGACATGTTCGAGTTCGACTTGCACTTAATCAAGAACATGTTCGAGCTCGACAAGCATGTTTTATCTGCAAATCAAACAGCTCGAGACGAATAAATTTCGATTCAAACGAAATAATTGTTTGAGTATCCGAAATGCGATGCGTTCGACTCGATGCAGGGCTTTAGTTGAATACAATTGTCGAGTGCTCACTGATAACAGAGCACCTGATGGCGCTCGCTAAGCGGCTGCTTGGGCGTGTAGTAGTCTGGCTTGGCATGGAGTTCGCTGTCGCTGAGCTTGAGCAGCTCATAGGACTTTGCGAAATGCGCATTGGGATGGAGCGAGAGAAACGGCTTGAGCTGCGTGTGAAAGAACTGCTGGCCGCCGCCCTTGCAATAGTTGAACTCATCGGCAATGGCCAGCTGCGGATAGAAGCCGCTGACAAGCAACAGCTTGAGCAGCAACACATCCCGATGCCGCTCCAGCTGAGCGGAACGAGCGAGCAACGCCAATTGGCGTCCATCGTGACGCAGCCGAAAGTCAACGTCGCGCATATCTTCAGTGTCCGGTGCATCATCGTCCTCCTCCTGCTGCGTATCCGCAGCGCCGTGCTGGCGCTTGAGCAGCTTGCGCTGGCGCGGCTGCTCCAGGCGCTGGCGCCGCTTGAGCGCCTTCAGCTGACGCAGCTCACCATGGCGGCGGGCACGCTCGGTACGATTGAGCGCGCCGGCGTCACTGGGCGGCGCCATGCGGCAGCTCTCGAGTATGCGCTGGAATTGCTGGCGCAGCTTGCAGACCTCGTAGAAGCGCTGCTCCTCGATGCCCAGGCGATGACACCATTTGCGCGTGTTCTCGCGCGCCATCTTCAGCTGCAGCCACTCGCGATAGGCGCGCAGCAGCGTGAATAGATCCCCTTGCTCGGACTCCAGCGGCTGGCGCTCACGTTCGCAGCGCTGATCCGTGTGGGCGCGCGTGGTCAATGGATTCTGTACGCTGAGCATGGCGGCCAGGGTGAGCAGCTGTTCGACCTCCGGAAAGACACAGCCCATCAGCAGCATCTTGCCAATGGGCAGCTCCACGGGCAAATTGGCCAGCGAGCTGCCCAGCGGGGTTATCTTCTCATCAACGCTGAGCGCGCACTGCAATAAGAGGATTTGTGTCTAGCTTTGGGTTTTGCTCGTAGCTCGAGTGTCCGACTTACGTGCTGCTTGAGCGCCAGAATGGTCTGCTCGATGCGCTCCGTTTCGGGCGGTTCGATGAAGGGAAAGGCGCGCACATCGGGCAGGCCCATCGAGACCATCTGCAGCAGCATCGTGTCCAGCGGCACACGATAGATCTCCGGCATGGGATACGGCTCGAAGGCATCGAACTGCTGCTGCGTGAACAGCCTGAAGCACACCTGCACATGGAAGAGCTTGTGTGAGTCAAGGATATGCTTAATGGCATTGATGGAACGCACCCCGGGGCCCGTGCGGCCGGCACGCCCTTTGCGCTGCTCGGCGGATGATTTGGAGACCCAGAACTCCTTGAGACGCTGTCCCTTGCAGCTGGCATCGTAGCTCATCTCCTTGACCTTGCCGGAGTCGATGACGAAGCGTACGCCGTCGACAGTTAGCGATGTTTCCGCTATGTTAGTCGAGACGATGCACTTGCGCATGCCGTCGGGCGCATAATCGAATACCTTGTCCTGCTCGGCGAGGGCCAAGCCGCTGTGCAGCGGCAGGACCAGCCACTGTGCCTGCTCCTTGGCATATTCTCGGATGGCCTCACAAATGCTGTCGATCTCGTTGACGCCGCTGACAAAGATCAGCACATCGCCGCGCTCCGTAACTGCAAGAGATTTGGAAATACTTTTTAAGAGATTATTTGTGATTTATTGTGCTGCTGGTCAACGCACTGGGATACTGTTGATCGATGAGGCTAAGCACCTGGATAAAGGGCGCCGGATCGAGGCGTGCGCTCTGCGAACGTTTGCTGCTGCCCGCCGTCGCTTGGCCTGCCTTCAGCTCCAGCGCCGGCGGCGGCATATAGCGCAGCTTGATGGGAAACAAACGGCCGGGCACTTGGAGCAGTCGTGCGCCCTCATCCTTGAAGTAGCCATGGAAGAGCTCCACATTGATGGTCGCCGACATGAGTATCAGCTTCAGCTCCGGCTTGGCGCGCAGCAGACACTTGGTGACGCCCAACAGAAAGTCGCCAAAGAGATTGCGTTCGTGTATCTCGTCCAGTATGAGCACGTCGTACTGCTCCAAGTTGGCGGCGACAGCCAGCTGGCGCAGCAGCAAGCCCTCCGTGATGAACAAGATGTGCGTATTCTGTGTCCGGTTGCGCTCGAAGCGTATCTGAAATCCCACCTTGTTGCCATAATCATCGAGCAGCTCGTGGGCCACGCGCTTCGATAGCGACACGCAGGCCAAGCGTCGCGGCTGCGTGCAGGCTGTGGGAATTGGAGGATTAAATGAAATGGTATCAATTACTTGGGGCTGGACTTGCCTATGCTGCGATAGCCGAACTCGTACAGATATTGCGGCACCTGCGTGGACTTGCCGCAGCCGGTGTCGCCGGCCACGATGAGCACACGTGTCGCTTGGAGGGAGCTGCGCAGATCCTCCTTGAATCGTGCAATGGGCAGCGCACGTTGGGCTTGGCGCAGTTTTTTGATGCGATTGAATTTCTCCTTTTGCTTAAAATCTAGATAGATGAGCACGAGTTGCTGGAATTGCGCCTGCAGCTCCTCGTTGTCGGCTCTCGTGTCGTGGCGCAGCGCCTGTTCGTCCAGCTGCAGCGCCAGATGCTTGCTTTTGTGATACGGCAGCGGCTGCAGATGCTCCGATTCGCTGATCAGCGTCGGCAGCACCGGCTGACCCAGTTGGCGCAGCATGGACTCATATTTGTTAACAAACTGCCAAAAATCCGATTCGTTCTCCACAAGACTGAGCTGATGCCGGCTCTTGGTAAGCAGCTGGTCGCTGAGCGTCGCCCTGTGCTCCAAAAAACTGAAGTTCACCAAATTGATTGGCTGGCGCATGGAACTGTGCCGCTTCCTGTCCGCCTTGCTGCCCATTTCTAAACTGTCTAGGCGCTGGTAAACAAACGGTAGAGGTAAACAAACGAGTTATCGTTATCGATAGACGATATTTTTTGAGAATCAGCTGTGCCAGCCTATTCAATTACACTTGGTTTATTATTGTATTGGTTTTAACAGGGCTAAATGAAAGTACACACTTATTCTACCACATGGCACGCTGCACACCCGACAGCTTATTGTAGTCCGCCAAATGGCGCCACACAATGCGGCTGAGTCGATATTTGTGGACAACGCCGCGCGGCCGTGACGTAAGTGCGCAACGTTCTCTCACACGCACCAATGAGGAATCTCTGGGGAATGCGGCTATCTCGGCATCGGCAACCTCGCGCAGCTCAATTGGCAGTATATCGTTCTTTCGCAGCGAATTTACCCGCAAACGCTCCTTGGCATGCTCGCTGACGCATTTGCGCCGCTTGACATCGCGTATCATCCGCCAGTCGGCATATTTTGTGCGCACTTGCTGCAACTGCGGAGATAACGTTGTTATAACTGTAATGTGCAATTGCTATGATTTTATATAAGACTTACGCCGCAGCCGGCGATTTGCACACTTTGGCAAACGTAGCTTCCAAGCCTGGCCAAGGAGTTCATTTTTTTGACCAAGCTGACCACCAAGTTGCTTAGAAGTTGCTCTTATCGATAGTTTATGTAGCGATGTTTCGATATTTTTCAACCTATATATCGCCGTGACAGCTGATTTTCGTGTAATCGTGTGAATGTCAGTTTGGGGTGAGCATATTTAATATGAATTTTAGTGTAGTCTGGAATTGAATGTAGCAAAAGAATGTGTGTGGCAACGTTTATGCTTTAAGTATGTAGACTGACAGTACTATACGAACGCATTACATTCATTTTAAGTAATAATTCAAACGTTTTATATAACAAGTGCTGGCCCACTATTGCTGCTTCTTCTTGCCTCTGGAGGGTGGCACAGCTGTGATTCTTGTGCCTATGTAGACTGACACAAACCAATAAAAACCCAATACTGATTATAAGACTATTTGAAATGTAAGTATTTTTCTTGTTTGTCGGCATAACAGACACACGCACACGCAGCTGCACACGTGCGGCTTCAACACGGCGTTGGCGAATATAACTAGTGCAACTTAATAAATCGAATCGTTTCAATTGCCATTCAAATCGATGCGCACACACGTGCTGCATGTGTATATTGCGTTGATGTTTGCTGTCTCACCGTCAAGACGAAATTTTGCTCGTGCTCGCGGTGTATTTTACCCATATAAATTATATATATTTTTAACGCCGTGTGTGTGTGTTATTTTTTTTTGTGCGTGTGCCTGGGCCACAAATTATATACACACGCCTGTAGTAACTACATTTCAACAATAATAGATTCCCCCGAATAGCAAACGGAAGCATTTTCAATCCGGTGCAAAAGTAGCAGCTGAAGAAGAAGCAGCAGCAGCAAACGTCGAAGATGCCTTCCAGCGATCCACTGCCGCCCAAGGAGGCTGCACTCTTCCGCAAATTACTGGTAAGCCAATACATATACATATGTATTTATATAGATATGTATTAAGCCATGCGCATATATACACGGCCAAATCGCCGGCTACATTTCCAACTGCTGCTGTCATATGCGCACACACACACACACGCACGCACGCACGCACACACACATACAAGTTATCATGTGCTTTTTCGTTGCGCCTATTTTTGGCATTACAGAAAAACAACAACAACAGCAACTCTGGTTATGATTCCAATTAGAATTGGTAATATGTAGTGCTTGGCAGCAGCAGCTTACACCAAACAGTGTTGCCGATGCGAAATTGCAGCTGTTTAACATTGTTTTGGCTACGCTCGTCGCATAACCTCAAAGTTGGTTTGTCTGCGGCGGAGTGCGGCAGGCCGGCGGGCGGGCTTTAAATGCTGATTAGCTGGCGTTAGTTCGCTTGCAACCACTTAAATGATTATTTACATAAATGCTTTTTGGTCTGATTATTATATATATATATATAGAAATGCTACGAAATGAAGCAGTACAAAAACGGCCTGAAACTGGCCAAGCAGATACTCTCAAATCCCAAGTTCACGGAACATGGCGAAACATTGGCCATGAAGGGCCTAACGCTAAACGGCCTCGGCCGCCGCGAGGAGGCCTACAAGTATGTGCGCTTGGGGCTACGCAACGATCTGCGCTCCCATGTCTGTTGGCATGTTTACGGACTGCTGCAGCGCAGCGACAAAAAGTACGATGAGGCAATCAAGTGTTATCGCAATGCGCTCAAATGGGAGAAGGACAATTTGCAGATATTAAAGGATCTGTCGCTGTTGCAAATCCAGATGCGCGATCTGGAGGGCTACAAGGAGACGCGCCATCATTTGTTCACGTTGCGACCCTCGCAGCACGCTTCCTGGATTGGTTTCGCCATGAGCTATCACCTGCTGGGCGACTACGAGATGGCCAACAACATTCTGGAGACCTTCAGCCAGTCGCAGACGTCAATTGTAAGTCAATTCCCCTATAGCTAGCACCTATGCTTATTACCATGCCCTTTTTTGGTTTTAGGAGGCCCACGATTATCGCCATTCGGAGCTGCTCCTGTACCAGAATCAGATACTCATCGAATCGATGCATCTACAGCAGGCGCTCGACCATCTGAACAAGTATGAGCCGCAGATTGTCGATAAGCTGGCCGTGCGCGAAACGCTTGGCGATTTGTATATTAAACTGAAGCTGGAGGAGAAGGCGATACCAATTTTTGAGTCGCTGATACGCCGCAATCCGGAGAATGTGCTTTACTATGAGCAGTATATGGCCGCACGTCGTGTGTCCGCGCCCAGTGATATTGTGGCCGTTTATCGTGAATTTCAGACAAAATATCCGCGCGCCCTCTGTCCGCGTCGCCTGCCCCTAGACATTGCCAGCGGCGATGAGTTTCGCCAGGTGGCCGATGAGTATCTGCGACGTGGCCTGCGCAAGGGCATACCGCCGCTGTTTGTCAATGTGCGTTCACTGCATCAGGAACCGGAGAAGGCGGCCATTATTGAGGCCTTGACGCTGCAGTATTTTGAGAATCTGACGCGTTCCGGCCATTTTTCACGCGAGGATGCGGACGCGGGTGTGCCCGTCGAGCCGGCCTCGGCGCTTGTCTGGACCGCACTCTTTCTGGCCCAGCATTATGATTATATGCGCGACACAGATCGGGCCCTCGAGTACATCAATGTGGCCATTGATCATACGCCAACGCTCATCGAGCTGCTCATTACGAAGGGACGTATTTTCAAGCATGCCGGCGATCCGGTGGAGGCCTACGTTTGGCTCGAGGAGGCGCAAAGCATGGATACGGCAGATCGGTATGGCAACAAATTCTATATCCCATCTATAAAACTGACAAACTGACACTTCATGCAACTGAGAGTCGAAAGATTCCAAGGATCAAGTTTCGACTGCAAACTTATTTCCAAGGACTTTCTTCCTCCTGCATGGATGTGCAATGTGTGTCAAAGGTTCCTTTAATCGTAGTTTTTTAGTATATTAGTTTAATATATTAGTTGAGAGTTGAAGCTAGCTTTAAATTTTCCACGTTTGCGAATTTAAATGTTTAAGAAAATGAGCAAAAACTTTGGACTCAACTTGGACTTCGCATAGAAATTTTGCCCCATATATATAATGTAATACGGCATATTTGCCATATCTATTTGCAGCTACATCAACTCAAAGTGCGCCAAGTACATGCTGCGCGCAAATATGGTGATTGAGGCGGAGGAGATATGCGCCAAGTTTACCCGGGAGGGCGTCTCGGCCATGGACAATCTGAATGAGATGCAGTGCATGTGGTTCCAAACGGAATGCGCAATGGCCTTTCAACGGATGGGCCGTTGGGGCGAAGCGCTCAAAAAGTGCCACGAGGTGGATCGTCATTTTGCCGAGATCATTGAGGATCAGTTCGATTTTCATACCTATTGCATGCGCAAGATGACGCTGCGCGCCTACGTGGGCCTGTTGCGTCTCGAGGATGTGCTGCGCCGTCATCCGTTCTACTTTAAGGCGGCCAAGTGCGCCATTGAGGTCTACATACGCCTATATGACAAGCCTCTCAAATCGGAGACGACCATTGAGGAAATCGATATCGGTGGGTTGTTGTCCTGAACACACGCGCAATCAAATAATATGTTATATATATATATATGTGTAAATTGATAACCATAATGTAATTTGCAGAGAACCTGCCGCCATCGGAGCTGAAGAAGCTGCGCAGTAAACAGCGCAAGGCCAAGAAGAAAGCCGAATTGGAGAGCGCACAGGCGGCGCAGGCTCAGGTGAAACGTGAACAGCATCAGAAATCGAAACAGCAGGCAAATCAGGAAACCGATCCCGATGCCCCACAGCTGGATGAGCTAATACCGGAGAAACTGGAGCGCACCGATGAGCCGCTGGAGAAGGCAATTGATTTTCTAAAGCCGCTACAGCAATTAGCCAAAGAGCGCATCGATACGCATTTACTGGCCTTCGAGGTTTACAATCGAAAGAATAAGCTATTGTTAATGCTGCAATCGATAAGGCGTGCCCGTGCCTTAAATCCGGCGCATCCGGTGCTACATAGCTGTATAATACGCTTCATGAAAGCCCTGGCCATCGCCCAAAAGCAGCAGCCATTTAATGTGCATGTGCAAAAGGTGCTGGACAAGGCCACCAAAGAACTGATAGGCACCAAGACGCCCCAGCAACTGAACGATGAATTCATTGCCAAGCATCATGCTTCTTCCATACTGCATTTATACGAGGGCGCACGCGGTCTCTACGAGCTGGATGCCAGCAAAAAGGATGCGGCCATTAAGCTCGTCACCAGCTTCAACCTGAGCAAGCTGCGACTGGAGGTGCGTCGCCTCAGTATATATAGATATATATAAATATAATTATAAAGTGTATAATATATATCTCTTGCAGGAGGCGATCAAGATCTATACGGCGTTGCGGGACGGTGATGTGTTCGGCGACAGCGAGAAGGAGGCGGATGAATATAAGCTGATGTGTCAGCAGCGTTTCCAATATGCGCGCATCTTTCGCAATATCGAGGAGCTTGAGGCACAGCTGCAGGAGAAGGAGGCAGCCAAGCTGCGCGCCGAACAGGAGCAGCAGCAGCTGAATCATTTAGATTCGAATGAGACGTCGGCGTCGCCGCCAGCGTCGACTGTTGCTGCGGCAGCGGCAGCGGCAGCAGCAGCATCTTAGAAGCAATCAGGCATAAAAGACTGCTACACCAACAACAACAACAACAACTACAACAACAATAATAATAACAACAACAACTGCAACAAACCTTACAACACCAACAAGAAGAAGAATAGCAATATGCTTAGCTCTATAAAGAACTTCAACAAGAACAACAACAACAACAACAATAATAATAACAATAAAATAAATTACTATTAACAACAACAAGCGAAGCGAAGAGGAGAGAAAGAGAAATAGAAAGAGATGCAAGAACAGAGCTGGTAGAATCGTTCGGATTCCCTTTTGGGGGTGTCTTCTGAGAAGCTTCATTTGGTTTTTTATGGCAATCAATCAATCAAGCAATAAATCAATCATACACACACACACACACACACACACACACAAATACACACACATACAAACACACACACACACACAAATGCCGCGTAGAAATTGTTTGTGCAAGAGAGTCGGCATTATGCTGCATATGACAGAGATAGCGACAAACACACACACATACACACACACACATACACACACACCCATACACACACACACACCCATACACACACACACATACACACACATACATACATACTTATATATGTATAGTTAAAGAAGCAGACGCAGGAAGGCAACGCAAAAGCTTAAATAAAAAAGAAATGAGAGAAAAAAAAAACCAACTAAACAAATCTGTTATAGAACTTTTTACATTTTATAAACAAAAATATTTTGCCCGTTTTTCCTATAATTTTTTTTTTACATTTTTTTTTTTTTAAATATATATAAATATATATATTAATACGAGCACATTGTATATACATATAACAATTTATAATTATATATTCAAAAATGAATCCAACTAATGTAATAACGGTAACTAAAAAAGAAAAAAGAAACGAAAACTCGATATGTATAAAACCAGAAGAAAAGAAAAAGAGCAGAAGAAGTGAAAGAAGATAGTAAGAATATCTTCGGCACGCCGAAGTTTTAATACCCTTGTAGACATTTGCCTTTTGCAGATATGTGAGCATGATGAAGCTTGTAAAATGCCGAGAGTTTGCTGAAAATATCTTGGGAAAACAGAATATTTTGCCAAACAAAAACTCATTTGTCGTCTTATTATTATTATCGCTTGAATCGACATCGTGACTTGAGGGATTTGGCTGGTGAATCAGGTTTTCAATTTGTTATATACTTTCAACATGTTTATGTTCAAAATTATAAACGCCCGTTCTATCCAAGAGAAATTGCAGACTACATTTGTTTTCAGCTGAGCTCAAGGCTCGCTAGAGCTTAAAAAATAGTTTGGAATTCGGTTGAATCCAAGCTAAGTCCAAACGATCTCAAATCGTTCGTGAAATAAAGGAATATGCGAATTGAAAACTACGGCCAAGATCGGAAAATGCGTGAAAATCACAAACACAAAGCCAGCTCCACAGTTTTCGGCAAATGCATACGTTCTGGATCAAGGATTGTAGAATCTTCAACTTCTTGCGGAGAGGATTGGCCCTCAAATTTCCTATGCCAGTCTGATTTTTTCCATTATTCCCATGTTCGACCAGAAATTTGGACAGAGGAGGCTGTGAGACAAGACAAATCAGGAATAGATAATGTGCCAGCCCCCATCGAGATTATTTGCCAATAATGTGCTGTATTACTACTACAAGGATGCGTTCGCCTATGCCGAGGACCATGTGCTCATCCACAAGGTCTCTTGCTATAATATCTTTTGGCACAGCCACCCCCAGGATTTGATGGAGCCTCTTGAGCGGCACGGCCGGGTCCTGGAACTGGAGCTCAGCGATGAGTATACGTTGGGGCGTGGCTGTACCACATCCGCCTTGGCCCGGCAAATGTCCTGCGCCGCGGCATGCACATGATCAATGGCAGCGAGGTGTTCGTCCAGGGCGCCGACAGCGAACCGGGACTATGAAGAGAACGAATCGACGGGGCACTAGCCAAGCTCAACTGATGGCATGCACCTGCTCGATCTGGATGATTATTGCCTGGAGCGCATAATGCGGCAGCTGCTGTCCACGGATCAGTTGCGTCTGGTGCGCACCCATCGCAGATTTCGCAATCTCTTCGAGCAATTGGCGGGCATTCAGTTTAAGGTCTTCGTCGCCTTTTTGAGCGGCTGGGAGATGCGCGACTTCTTCCAGCTGGCCGGCGGCGCGATCAGGCGCATCGAGGGCATCATACCGTCTGGTCATTGCCAACGCTTGTGCCGTTTTCTGGGCAAGCACTGCGTCCAGCTGGACACGTTGCGTCTGATGAAGTTCAAGCTAATGTCCTACAATCTGGGCCGTCTGCTGGCGGGCACGCTCCAGCTGCGCGAGCTGTGCCTGCCTGTGCAATGTCAGCCTGCCGGCGATTAGCCATCTGCTCCAGCTGCGCCTGCTCGATTTGTTCAACAATCCGAAGCTAACCGGCTCGCATATGTGCTAGCTATCCAAGTGCCTGGAGACGCTCATACTGAACGGTTGCACTGGGCTGCTCGGCGAGTATCTGGTGCCCGTTTGCGAGCGGCAAACGCAGCTCAAGGATCAGCTGGGCGGCATCGATGCGATTACGGATGCTGCTATGCTGCAGGCGGTGCACGCCTGCCGCCGGCTGCGTGTTCTTCATCTGGAGAATTGTCCGCGGGTGAGCAAATCGCTGCTGTTCGGCATTCACGAGCTCTGCTCGCAGCCATGGAGCCAGGGAAGAGCGCTGCCGCTGCAGCTGCATGTCTTTGGCACCGCCATCGGCGCTTTGGATCTGGAGGATGAGCGTCTGGCCAATCGGGCGCTGGTCTGCAGCAGCCTGTTGCCGCCGCCGGAAGCTTGCGTATTCCCCTCAAACGAAGAGCGAGTTGAATCTATACAATGAGATGGATGATCTTGTGCCTCGAAGCACAAGTCCCAATTACCCCATATTTGCGCAATATTATCAACGAGTTTAAGTTTCAAATTTGCATTTTTTACATATTTTTGCTGCAGTTTTGAGTTATGAGAGTGGGAAACTTCGATCTATGTCTATGTGGGATAATAAGCGGGTTTATCCCGATCTTGCCTGTGGCACATTTCAAAGAAATGCTCTTCAAGATCTTTGAAATTGAGATTTAAGCCAATCGCACGTTAAACATAAAACATTCCTTCAACCGTGCTCCGCATTTAAATACCACTATTAAATAAACTACAAACTAATTTCTCGACCTATTCTTTCCATAGAGCCATATATAGTAGTGCGATCTTGACAAGAATTGGGCAATATATCTTGATACGCAAAAAAAGTTTCCTAATCAAGAACTTAACTTTGCACCGATCGTTCCTATGGCATATATATGATATGCTGGTCCGATTTTGATAGGATCTTGTATACATATATATGTATATCTTGTGTAAGAAAGCACGCATATCTGTTGACTATGCAGCCTAGATTTTAATTGTAAATGACTTTAATGTTCCTGCTGCTTATTTAAATATATATGTAAATTTAAAAGCCTGCGCAGGGTGACGGTGGAGGGGGAGGGGGTTAAGGTCGAGGGTGGCACAAGGAGCAGCTGCACAAGAAAAGCATTTAAAATATATGAAACACTAAACGATTCGCACACGTGCCCAAAATATGAAACAAAAATACCAAATATAATGCGAGAATGTTCGAGGGGAACTGCATGCGCACCGTGGTGCGCAATGCATTCGCATGGGTCGAAATGCGAAATGAGAAACGCAACTGTATTTATATTTATATAAATTTATCTATATATTTATGCCTATATATGTGCCTATATTTATGCCTATATTTATGCTTATATTTATGCCTATATATGGGAATATATTTATGCTATATTTCTGCTTACATTTATGCCTATATTTAAGCCTATATATGGGCCTATATTTATGCCTATATATGTGCCTATAATGGGGCTATATTTATGCCTATATTTCTGCTTACATTTATGCCCATATATGGGCCTATAATGGGGCTATATTTATGCCTATATATGTATCTATATTCAATCTAATATTTCTGCTTATATTTATGCCTATATATGGGCCTATATTTATGCTTATATTTATGCCTATATATGTGCCTATATTTATGCCTATATATGTGCCTATATTTATTCCAATATTTATGATTACAGTTATGCCTATATATATGCCTTTTTTTATGCCTTTATTTATGTGTAGTTCAAGTGTGAAGTATGGGAAGTACACGTTGCAAATCATATTCAGATCACGGTGCAATTGCTGCATGGCTTGTAAATTATATAGTCGGTTGTCTGCGCGACAAGCGGCAAGTGCCACTCGCCTGCGGTGACTGCGACAGAGTCAGTTTCCACTAGCTGCATTCTCCAGCTCCAAGTCCGACTCCGGCTCCAGCTCTGTCTCCGGCCAAAGCTTTATCGGCTTTGAGCGCTTGAAAATTTTCGCAACAAACACAGAGCATATGCGGGCAGCTCAAGCGTTGGTTACGAAAGTATCTATAAGATACAAATCAATCAAGTTCCAAAAGTATCTGTAGCATAAAAAACCTTTTGATAGTATCCGAAAGATACAATTATGCCTGTAAGATAAATAATTATTTGCGTGATATACAAGCATCTTTAAGAGACAAAAGCATCTGAAAAATATGCCGTATCTATGAGATACTTAAGTATCTGAGAAATAAAATGATGTGCAAGATTTAAGGTAAAAGTGGCACTCAAAAGTATCTACAAGCTAGAATAGCATTCACATGTGCCCGTAAGATCAAAAGTATCTGTGAGATAAGAAAATATTTCAAACTTACAAATGCAGTGAGATGCTGACGTATCCATAAGATACAGAAAAGCCAGTTGCTTTCTGAAAATAACCAAACGAATGGGTATTCAGGGTATGCAGCGCGTTTATCATTGAGATGAGTTGCGGCACGGCCGTTTTTTTGTTTTGTACTGCTTGCGGTTGTTTTTTTGCCTTTCGAGCTTTTAATCATTTTTAAACAACAACTCAAGTGGCGCGTCTGCACACACAAGTGTTAATGCGAGTGAGTGTGCGTGTGTGTGTGTGTGTGTGTGTGTGTCAAAAGCCAAAGAGCAGCTGCATGTATGCAAGTGCCATTCAACACACAAAACACACTCACACCCACAGCCACACACGCGCTGGCAGCAGAGAAGTTACAAGGGAAAAAAGTGTTGCATACCCAAAAGGGGCCGCCGTTGACGTCGCAGTCGCAGTCGCCGTCGCAGTCGCAGTCAAAGTCGACGCCCGCCGGCACACAAAAGCACTTGAGAATTTATTTTTAACGCATAAAGTGCAATGAGTGGCCGTCTGACCGACCAAGCAAAGTTGAAGCAGCTCGTTCAACTGGACCCAAACCCGGCCCCAGCCTAGCCCAACCCCCCTCCCCGCCAGTTCAGCTACCCCTCCAACCCCGCCGCCAAGCCAGCCTGGCTGGCACTTAGCCTCTGTCTACTTAGCTGCCAGTGCGGCAATTTTCCATAATTTTGCCTAATTGACGGCGCCATTCGACTGCATTTCACTCTTTAAAACGAAACTAAATGAAAAGAACAAAAAGCAAATTATATATGGGCATGGCTTGGAACTTGATTCAAGGCTATTTATTTATTTATTTTATTATTCAGTCAAATTTTCTTAATATTATCATTTTCAAAATATATTTCTCATTTATTATTTAATTGTTTATTTTATCAGCATTTATGT